GGGGTGTGAGAGTGACATTCTTCCCATTCAAAAGCATTTACCTTCTCTCTTGCTTTTGTTGTTCTTAAATCTGGCTAGTTGAGGCGAAAGCTGGACACCGTTAGGGTTGACAACTACATGGGTGTTGACAGGAGAGGTACACCAATCTAGGTTTCCAGATAGACCTCGACAAACATAGCAACTTTAGAACTCTCTGAGTAGAGAATTGGTCTGCATTATGTGCTGTTCGATTGCGTCTTATGTTCTCTACTTACAGAGACACGTGTCAACTGCAGAATGATTTGCTTTATGCATTGTTCAATTCCACGTATGTCCCCTAATACCACTGATTCGCATAATCTCTTTTTTCCATAATGACGGAACAGGAAATCTTGTCGTGTCGCATACCAGACCACATGATGATTAATCGGGGATGTTCCCAGCATATGACAATTCTCGATTTTCGATGCGAAGTGAACTACGAACTGTTTGCACGTGCACTGCACATCTCATTTTTCTATGCATGACCTACAGAAGCTCCTTGGACTCAACCGAGAAAGTCAAATTCGTGAGCGCCACTCGTGATCGTCGATGTAGCCTAGAAGATTCTGTCAGCAGCATAGTAACCTGATCCCTGAGCGACCCGCTCAATCTTATGCTCGTAAATATCGTCATTCTCCCGAGGTCCAAATTCAGCCAAGAAACGAAGCACAAGCCATACATTCTTGTTTGTCATATTCCATGAAACAGACGAACATGTGAAAAATCTCGTGTATTGGTGCGAAGGTGAGGCATAAAGTCAAGTTGATAGATGCGTACTATATCCCCCGCAAGAGATTATTCTGTGTTGTCTTCTGGACAATGTTTCCATATCGCGATAACACGGCTGCTTTAGATGTTGATTGTTGCGATGCCCTGCGCTATCCACGGATCAAGACGCAACGCGTAGATCTTCCTCACAAATTATCTTGCTCGATCAGAATGCAGATCATCTTGAAAACACGTTGTCATCTGATATTTACTGGCGCGGCTATGCGAGTGCGAATGCCTCGGTCGAATGAAACAGTCGCCGGCACAGCCAGGGTCCAGGGAGAACAACGAAGACCCTGGCAGCGAACCCCAGAACACTCGGATGATGGTGCGTGAGGGGCAGGCAATAGGAAGTCCGTCTAACAACCTGACGTATTGTCCGAGCTTAACAGCTAGTATCAATGAAACACGTGAACGTGATAGAGCCGAGGGCGGCAATCAGACGAAACTATTAAATGAACCAGCCATCGTCCACGACTCCCATCGTGAATGAATAACCAGCCGCGAAAATTTTGCTTTGTGTGCCTAACCGCGAAGAATTTCCTCAAACTACCTCGTATTTTCAGAAACAATGAGCGAGAGCAAAGATCCTATGAAATCGACATGGCGCCTTCGCGATAGACGTCTATGGAAAGCTCATCATTGGATCATTGAACGACTCGGCCTACATCACGTGGACCTCGACAGGAAGGTCCCTATCCACGAGAAGGGCGATCCAGTCCCATACGTTCCGCACTGGCAGTTCCATCGATGGATTATCGTACACGCCTGTGCACCGCTCATTCTTCATCAACTTTTTGTGTCCTACACGGGGTATAATCTGCATCCTGTGGCCGCCTTTATCTTCTATAGTGCTTTCATCAAGCTTATCGCTATTCATCAAATTAATATCATGCGCGACCTCGGCCATATTCACGGGTTTCTGGATGGTGACAAGCACGAGCGCGACAGCGTACCGGACAGGAGCGTGAAGAAGGTCTTACGATCGTTGATTTCGACATCGACATTTCGGTCCATGATGGCCGTTATCCTTGCGTACCGGAGCTACGAGGCCCCAAATACTATCAACTGGAAATTGGTCCCCCTCGAGGTCGGTCTGTATGGGATTATCCTCGACTTTTGGTTCTATTGGTACCACCGACTTATGCATGAGGTCGACTCTCTATGGCAATACCACCGAACACATCATTTGACGAAACACCCAAATCCCCTCTTGGCTCTCTTTGCAGACTCCGAGCAAGAGTTCTGGGACATTGCCGGCATACCTTTGCTCACGTATGCGACTCTCAAGCTATTCGGCTTCCCCATGGGGTTTTATGAGTGGTGGCTGTGTCAGGAATACGTCATCTTCACCGAATTGAGTGGACACAGTGGCCTACGTATATACGCTACAACTCCGTCGCCCTTTGCTTGGCTTCTCAGACGGTTCAATTGCGATCTGCTCCTAGAAGATCACGACCTCCATCATCGGAAGGGCTGGAAAAAGAGCGGCAACTATGGCAAGCACACGAGATTATGGGACCGAGTTTTCGGAACTTGCATGGATCGCATCGAATGCCCCGATGAGACGATTGACTTTGAAAATACGGTAGTTTTTCCACTTCTTTGAAAAACAGCACTAGAGGCTTCGCTAGGTATTGCGCGGGGAGCTGGCCAACATGGGTTGGGTTGAGACGAGGTAGCTAGAACTCACCGTACGTTGATGCCTGTGGATAAATAAAGGAGATTGAGCTCACTGATTTCAAGGTGGTTGAGACGTGACTACATACTTATCACCCAAGAATATTTCCTCATAAGCTCCTCATTCTCTAAACGCCTCAGTTATGATTTGGAGGGTGACTCAGTATGATCCAAGTATGCCATGAACCCCTGCAGTGTTTTAGTAGTACGGAAAGGTGTCCAGCGCCTGCAATGGCCCTGGAATTAGGGCTGGATGCTGCTCTGACAAGGTTGTGCACAGAAAGGATCTTCAGCAGGGTTCCGTCCGAATGGACACCTGTCATGCACAACAACCTGCCGATGCTGTCAGCGAAACCATCAACTATTCGCCACATGACTTGACTTTCGAGATGACAGCCTCTGCTACATGAACACTCGATGCCGAGCCCTCGGAAAAGAGAAGAAAAACGTTGGTTGAATCTCCGAGTCGTTGCCCAGACCAGACGGCTGCTAAATTGCCGTCGGTGCCACTCCGCCGGCAAGATGGTGCCGGTCTTGTGCAACAGGCGTTGAGACGCGGCCGGGAGCAGGGGCCTGGGTAAAATTTTTAGTGTCGGATGCCACATCCCAATTGGCCTCAGCACTTGGCGTCGCACAAAGGTGAGGACTCAAAAGACGTTGGACAAGGATCGGCGACATCCAAGCTGACGACATTTGGACAATGGAGTCATGCCATTGGCAAAACAAAACGCCATCCAAGTGGCCTCATCCACGTGACCGCCCGTACAGGCAAAGAGTGGGCGAGTGCGTTTCGTTTGTTCCTTGCGCTGACCTCCGAGTCCTCCGACCTTCGCTATCATATCTCCGAGCCAACATTCCGACCCTGGACTTGAATTTTGAGCCTCCATCGACTTATAAGTGCCGGTATGCTGCGCGAAGGTTCGGCATTACAGAGACAGCATTCATTACAATTCAGCTAGACGAAACTCAAAGCCGTCATGTCGTCTGAAACGTCGTCTTGGCTGTCAAAGCTTGCTGCTGAGAGTGGTTTTACCGCCATTGCTCAATCATGCCGCGACACCAAGGTGCTCTGCTTACAGCGCTTCGTGCGACTCTTTGCCTACGGCGCCTCGTTTCTCATCCTTGTCCATTTTCTTTCCAGTCTTGGTTTCTCGGATGAGAGAATCGGTCTGTTCATGACATTGACTCTTCTTGGAGATGTTGTCATCAGCTTCTTTCTCACAACCATTACCGACCAAGTCGGCAGGCGCAAGATCTTGGCTGCAGGGGCCGCATTGATGGTTATGAGTGGCTTCGTGTTCGCGTACTTTGGCAACTATTGGGTCCTCGTTGTCGCCAGCATTGTTGGCGTTATTAGTCCCAGTGGGAACGAGATTGGACCATTTCGTGCTGTCGAGGAGTCCGTTCTGGCCCAGCTCACTCAGAGGGAGCACCGCAGCGACATCTTCGCGTGGTATACCCTCTTCGGAACTGCAGGTGCTGCTTTGGGAACCCTCACTTGCGGCTGGGTCGTTCAGATGCTCGAAGACAATGACTCGTGGACAACGAACGAGGCATACCGAGTTGTTTTCTTGATCTATGCGGCTCTGGGCCTCATTAAGTTGATGCTCATTTTGGGGCTCAGCTCCGCCGTCGAGGTCGGCTCAACTAGCTCAAAACCTGCCAACGACGAGACTCGACCACTTCTGCCCGACAACTCAGGCAACGGGGAAGACGAGAGCAGATTCAGCTCGCCCTCAACTTCAATTATCCAACGTTTGCGGTCTCTATTTCCACATATCTCTCCGCTCTCACAAACGATCCTCTTCCGGCTACTCATTCTCTTCTGTCTTGACTCGTTCGCCTCCGGAATGGCATCGCCCTCATGGCTCACCTACTTTTTCACGACGGTTCACTCGCTGCAGCCAGGATCATTGGGCATACTCTTCTTAGTGACGAACCTTCTCGCCACTATCTCCAACCTTGTCGCCCTCCCCCTCGCGCGACGACTCGGGCCCCTCAAGACGATGGTCTTTACGCACTTGCCATCGGCTGTGTTTCTGTCCATGATCCCCATCCCCGGGCCCGGCCCTTCTGGTACTTGGATTGCCATGGCATTCCTGTCCCTAAGAGCTTGCACGCAGAGCATGGATCAAGCCCCTCGACAGGCATTCTTGGCCGCTGCAGTCCTCCCCAACGAAAGAACTGCCGTTCTAGGCGTGGTCAACATCGTCAAGACTCTAGCACAAGCTGGAGGAATCGGCGCCGCCGGCGTCTTGTCTGGCAAGAATCTTTGGATAGTTGTTCTTACGGGAGCGGGAATTATGAAGGCTTGCTACGACTTATTGATGCTCGGAATGTTCCTTGGCCTGAGGGACCGAGAAGAAAGTACCGGAAAGTCTAGAACCAGGGACGAGGAAGAATCTTAACGTCACCTTAATACGGAGGAAAATGCTTCATACTGAATAGAATGCGTGGGCTGTTCAACTTATTTATAATCAATAGATTGCACATCGAACTATATCCCCCATGTAAGAATATACGCGTTAGTATCACTCAACTCTCTTGACCCCTTCCTTGCGCACAATGGCCTCCAGCTTTGGCAGCTCAAACTTCTTGTACGCAAGTTCATCCAAGAGCCATTCACCAAATAGCAATCTTGCCAACCAAACTGATCCTGCCATGCCACCAGCCCAGAACCAGTTCCTGGCACCGCCAAGCCAGCCTCCGAGCCAGCCTTCTCCCTTCAACGCTTCCGCCACCAGCTGACTCGCAAAGTCCTCTGTGCTGACAGTAGCATTGTTCTGGGAGAATTTCAGACGCTTTGCGTACAGGTCTTTGACGCGAGTATATAAAGAGTTGGGCGGGAGCTCGCGGTTAAGCTTAGCGATATCGCTCTTGACAGTGCCGGTCATGGATACCATCACTCGAACACCGAAAGGGCGCAACTCCTGGCGGAGTGTGCGGCTGTATGAATTCAACGCCCCTTTTGTTGCAGTATAGACTGAGCCAAAGACATACGGCGAAACTGATGACAGGGAGCTGATCATGATGATGAGACCTCGTGATGGGATCATGAGGGGTACGAAAGCCTGGACCATAGCCATGACACCGAACACGTTCGTCTCAAATGTCTGGCGCACCTCGTCCATATTGATGTCTGTAGCTGGGACGGTGTGGGTGAGGCCCCTATGCAAGAATTCGTCAGATATGTAGCAAGGCTTGGCGAATTTGTTCGCGCGCATCTGTCATCCGGCTTGGGGAAATTGCACTTCTGGGGTGGGATAGCCTCACGCGTTGTTGACGAGGAAATCGAGGCGTCCGCCTGTCAACTCCGTCACCTTCTGCTTGCACTCGGCAATGCTCTCGGCCTTGGTGACATCGAGAGCAATCGTTGTCATGCCTTTGTCCCCGAGGTCCTGGAGGACTTCCGGGCGCCGGGCGGTAGCGATGACATGAAGTCCTGAAAACGAAGCTGCGTGTGAGCATTCAGGCCGCCTATTGATTGAGGGTACTGGGGTGTTGGTGTGACACCAGACTGCCCACCTTTGGCGTGGAACTCCCCGGCCAGGGCGTGGCCAATTCCTCCCGGGGTGCAGCTACAGCAAAAAGCTTGTCAGCACTAGAGCCCTCTTTCGGCGACCATTCTAGCGAATCAGGCATGTCATTGGTGGCGGGCTGCGGTGGCATACCCGGTAATAAGGACCGTTTTCTTGTTGGCTGGGATGCCCATCTCTTCTGTTGGGCGGTCTGTTTCTGGGTGTTTGGTTGACGATGGGAGAAGCTTAGGGCAACAAAGATGCCCGTGTCGAAGACAAAACTCGAGAGGAACGACGATCACAGACCGTCTGGCCCAAATACCTATCCCGAGGCACACAATAATGGGGCTTTTTGAAGACAAACATGTGGGCCGACGGCGCCCGCGCACGCGTCCGCGGATTTCCCCCCAAAACCATGGAAATGCTTGCATGTAGCTTAGTCATCGCAGATTGTTTGTTTCTTCTTCATCCAAACCAGCCTGTCGTCAAAGCCTGTCGACACGCCGTGGTGGGTGGCTCGTGCTAGGCAGGAAAAGTCCGCCGTAGCAGTTAAACAGATTCATTAAAGCTCTTTGCCATGGTCGGGTGTGTGTGTTTCTGAAACCCCAGCGGAATCCATACATTTCGGCCGAGTACGGAGACATCAGCTGGTGCCCCTTGATCACGGGAGGCTGACCAGGGTGCTCGCTTTTCCATCTTTTCTGGGAGGACCATCGGTCGAATAACTCACTTTTATTCCTGCAGTTTCGGGAAATCCGAAGGTGTCTAGTCAAGAAACTCCAAATGGCGGGTGAGAAATCACTTGTCGGTCACGGGGAGTGTCGGCTCCGGGCCAAGCCTGTGCTGCAGGCTCTGGTGATGTGCTTCCTTGGCAGGATGGCCAATGTCCATACACGGTAAGATTAAACGCGTATTTCCTGTGGATACGACTCATCCAGGGACATTGCCGTATCGTTGAAGCGGTATTTTCACACCGTCTGTCAGCTGGTTGCATCCCCCCCGCACACTCAAATGCGGAGAAGCTGGGTCATGAAGCCCTGGCGTCGGGCTCTCCCCAACTACCGGCAACCGAGTTTGCGGGGTTGCCAGGTACTCAAGACTTCTCCGCGCTCCCTGTTTGTTTTGGCAGTTCATCCCATTGACTTCCTCGCTCTAGCTTCCCGGGAGCGCTCCCCTTCACTGGTTTTAAACATTCTACTTCCGATGAAGCTATGTGTTGAAGCCGTGAACATGTAGAAGTTACGAAATGGTCTCTGAGAGGAGAAGCAAGCAAACGCGATGTTCAAATAGTCTCGCCTCGATACAAAATCTCAATGGATCACGCAGACGTCGTCCCACCGGCACTGGTACCCTGGGCTCGGGATTTCCGACCAAAGATGCTGCCGCGCCGGAGATCATCATCCTTCTAAGCATATCGCCCCGTGGGGTTGGAGATCCCACCTTGTTGGTCTGGGGACCCCGCAAGCTAAACGGCCCGATCCCCAGAGATTTCGGGCATTGCAGGACGAGATGGAGGTTGGAATGAGCTCATCGAGCCAGCTTGAGCTCGTCTGCGGCACAAAGCCCACCGAAGATGACTGCCGCGAGTCTTCTCCGGGCTTGCCAACATCGACCTCAGGCAGAGGCAGCAACAAATTCACGGGTGAAGAAGGCCCGAGTTACCCTTGTTATTGTAAGATATATAATAATCTGCCATTTGGGAAAGCCATGTGAGGTCTAGTAGATTCCCAGGCGCAACTCCTCTTTGCCTTGCAGCTCCCTTCAATACAATGGCTGTCTCGATATCACAGCTATCTTTCGAGCACCACCGCCTGGCTCTTGGCATAGCCGAGTCAGAGCCTCGCATCTCGTGGAGGTTCGGAGGCAATGCTGTCGACTGGCAGCAGACTTCTTACGACCTCGAGGTCATCAGGGGTACCAGTGGCGCACCAAGCATTCACAGCGTCAACTCCTCCGACTCTCTGCTCGTCCCATGGCCCGAATCGCCTCTAAGCACGGCTGAACAAGCTACTGTGAGGGCCCGAGCCCATGGTCAATCGGGTCAGCCCTCGACACCGTGGTCCGACTGGGTCACTGTTGAAACTGGGCTCCTCAACAGCAGTGACTGGCTGGGCGCTGTTCCCATCGCCGCCGATAGAGACACCGAAATCGACGCTCCAAAGCGGCCCATCTACTTCAGAAAGACTTTCCCTGTGACGGCAAACGTATCAAGCGCTCGCCTTTACATCACTGCGTTGGGCTTATATGAAGCCGAGATCAACGGAAACAGGGTCGGAGATCTTGTGCTTGCCCCGGGCTGGCAATCATACAACTATCGGCACGTGTACGATACGTACGATGTTACTGAACTTGTCAACAGAGGGGATAACGCCATTGGCGTTGTCGTTGGTGAGGGCTGGTTTTCGGGTCGCTTGAGTTATGGAGGCGGCTTTCGTAACAACTACGGTGACACCATTGGTTTGATTTCTCTCCTCGTTGCCACTCTTGATGACGGCAGCACCGTTGAAATTCCCACCGACACCTCATGGCAAGCGAGCACCGGTCCGATTCTCACATCTGAGATCTACGACGGCGAGAAGTACGACTCCAGACTAGAGGCGGACCTGGAGGGCTGGTCTTCTGCGGCTTTCGAAGCCAGCGGCTGGCTTGCTACGAAGGAGCTAGATGCGCCCAAAGGCGATCTGGTTCCACCTGATGGACCACCCGTCAGGCGGGTTGAAGAGAAGAAGCCTGAAGCAATTTTTCAATCGCCCTCGGGAAAGACCATCATCGACTTCGGACAGAACCTTGTCGGCTGGCTCAGGCTTACTGTTTCTGGGCCCAGCGGGACAAACCTCACTCTCCACCATGCCGAAGTTCTGGAAGACGGTGAACTAGCCCTAAGACCCCTTCGGTACGCCACGGCAGAGGATTCCATCATCCTACATGGCAACGGTGACCAAACATGGGAACCTCGTTTCACATTCCACGGTTTTCGCTACGCTCAGATCGATGGTTGGCCGGCAGAGACCCCATTAACGCCCGAGTCAATCACGGCGGTCGTGGTTCACAGTGATATGGAAGAAACTGGTTGGTTCGATTGCTCGAATCAACTTCTCAACAAGTTTCATCACAATGTCCGATGGTCTATGAAGGGCAACTTCCTCTCTATCCCAACCGACTGCCCGCAACGCGATGAACGTCTTGGGTGGACTGGAGACGCACACGCATTTGCTCCCACTGCCAACTACCTGTACAACGCCGCCGGCTTTTTCAAGGGCTGGCACAAGGATATTTGGTCAGAAATGCAACGAAACGACTCCATGGTCGTTCCCTTCACTGTGCCAACCATCCCGCCGGAGTCTCCCGCCACGCCTGCTGCTGTGTGGGGTGATGTTGCCGTCGCTAATCCCTTCAATATTTACCAGGCCTACGGCGACCTTGATCTGTTGGAGGAGCAATATTCTCAAGCTCAGGCTTGGATTGATGAGGGTATCAGTCGCAACGAGGTTGGTCTCTGGAATCGCAGTTCGTTCCAGTTTGCGGATTGGCTTGACCCCAAAGCTCCCTCGGATGCACCTGGCAACGCTACGACTGCGAAGATTCTCGTTGCGGATGCTTATCTCATTCACATGACGGAGTTTCTGGCCAACATGTCAGCAGCTCTGGGTCGGGACGATGCCGCGACGGAATATCGCCGTCAACAGAACAACCTGACCGAGGAGTTCCATAATGCCTGGATTCAAGACGGCGCCCTCGCAAATAGGACTCAGACTGCGTATGCCATGGCTTTAGACTTTGGTCTTCACACCGACGAGGAGCAGCGTTCTGCTGCGGCGCAGACGCTGCGTGACATCGTAGCAGAAAATGACTACCTCGTCGGCACGGGCTTCGCCGGAACTCCTCCCTTAGGGTTCGCTCTCCGCAACATCGGAGCTACGGAGGACTTCTATCGCATGCTTCTACAGACTCGGGTTCCCTCGTGGCTTTACCAAGTTGTTCAGAATGGCACAACAACTTGGGAACGTTGGGACAGTCTGTTGTCGAACGGAAGCGTCAATCCTGGCGAGATGACGAGTTTCAACCATTACGCCTTTGGCTCTGTTGCCAATTGGATGCATCAAGTTATCGGTGGCATCGCTCCTGCTGAGCCTGGCTGGAAGAGAATCGCCGTCGCCCCCGTCCCAGGCGGAAACATCACCAGTGCGGACGCCAAGTTCATCAGTCCCTACGGAGAGGTCAAAGTTCAATGGTGGTTTGAGAACAACACGGAGGACAATGCTTTGCACCGCAACGGCTTTCATCTGAATGTTCAAGTCCCGCCCAACACCAGGGCCGACATCACGTTGCCTAATGGGGGCGCGACCACAGAAGTTGGGTCAGGTTATTACGAATTCCATGACCCCAATTACCAGCTGTCTTAGCAATCTTTACATTCTTTCACTTCCCCAGTATTGCGGGGCTTGTAATAATTTGATTCATCTGGTGTGATGAAACACAAGCTTTGCTTTCAGATGCCAGAACTTCGTGCAAGAGTGAACTAGGTTGGGACTTTTGTCAATGGAAACCCCCAGTGAAGCAATACTTCTATCCAATCAAACAGCTACATTTGACTTAAGCTCAGTCTCCGAAACCATGTAACAAAGGACTGTGCCTATTTATGTTCCATGTTGTTGATGTCCCTTCTTTATTCGGTCTCTGAGCCTTGGGAGCCGAAGGAGAGGTGACGAGTCAAAGTCAAGAAAGTCAACCCTGCCGCCGCAATCCTTTTCTGTAAACTAACATAGTCTCTAAACTCGCTAAAGATAGAGTCATACTCATATATGCGTCCATGTCTGTTTTTCTTTCGTCTGCTCGGGTCGGTGCAGTGCTCCTGTGACCTCAGCACTCTTCGGACCACGTCGGCGGGCGAGCAAACAGCGACTAACAATCATGAAACCAACGGCCTTGAACATGAATAAAATTATTTCCCTATAACTTTACTACTAAAGTACTAGTTTCCGAACCAGCAGGAGCTAGTTTACATAGGAAGATAGGACTCATCCGCACTGGTCTCGGCTCTCTTCATTGGCAGGTAAGATTCATCAGCGGTAGTCTCGGCACGCTTCATGGGCAAATACGACTCGTCAGCGCTGGCTTCGGCCCTCCTCATGGGATCGTAAGACTCGTCGGCACTGGTCTCAGCTCGTCGCATGGGATCATAAGACTCGTCGGCGCTCCTCTCGGCACGCTTCATTGGCAGATACGACTCGTCGGCACTGGTCTCGGCTCTTCTCATCGGGAGGTAAGACTCATCGGCACTGGTCTCCGTGCGAGCCTTCATCGGGAGGTAAGATTCATCGGCATTGGTCTGGGCTGTTAAGAGTCAATAGAGATCTATAGGGATTTCAAAAAGTTTCCAGCCCACCAAGTCCAATATGAGGTGCTGTTGGGAGAGAAACGACGCAGGCTGCTAGAGCTGCGAGGAGAAATGCGGTCTTCATCTTGAAGCAGCGAGATGTATGGAAAGCTTGATGGAAACTTCGAGAAATAACTTTGGCTCGAAGTGTCACGAGCTAATGAGATGTCAAAGAGGACTGGATTCATGAAGAGCTGGAGTAAGTGTCCGCTTGCCTCTTATGATGGAAGGCGTTTGCATTGGCAGCCTCTAGGGGCGACTGGTTCGGAGCCTAGGGGCCAGAGATAATGGCGAGAGGAACTTTCTCATAGGAGCTGATACCTTGCTTGCTGATCCAATGGATCAATCAGGCAGGTGACATGGAACGGCTTTGCGAGCTGACGAATCGCGATTCTTACCTCTGCTGCTAGAGGAGATGGTTGCACAAGCTATCAGCTCCACTTAGAGTCGGCCACGGAGTAAGCGTTTCCCAAACGTCGCAAGGCGGTCAATACAGGATCATGAAGTTGAAGGATTTTACCCCATCCGAAGTAGTCCTTTGGGAGAAAGAGTCACAGCTCTGATTGGGGGCGACCTTCCCCATTTACATTAGCTTGCTGACCCACAGCTGGGAGGATTCACGCATACCGCAGAGAAACCTGGAAAGATCGTGAGAGCAAGACCTTTTTGCAAAGTTTCGAGCAAGATGGGCCACTATAGATTTGTCGTCTTATTTAGTTGCAAAGCCTTCCTAGGCTACATGAAATGCAGGGAAACTCAAGATATCTAGCAATATGACAGCAAGATATTTTTGGAGCGACTGCGTGACAGACGCGCTCATCATTAACCATAATACTTCGGTAGACATCATTTCGTTCATGTACGTCTTCCGAACTCGATGCCTGCAGCAGCAAATGCTTATTTCAGCTAAGCTTGTACAAGGGGGATCGAGATGCAAATCGTGTGGCAAGCATGTTGTAGGCTACCTAGTTCAACGAATAGACATTTTCAGATCTTTCGAATGACCTGAGAGCTAGCATATCTGGTTTAGCTACTTTCTCGAAGGATTCGAGGACGCAGACACGGAAAGAGGTCATGCGTTTACAGACTGCTCCAGCCCAACTGGTTCAAAACGCCATCGTCAGATATCATGAGCGTATCGATAGTGACCTTCCAATTGCGGGAATAAGGATCAAAAGTTGAAGCCACTAGATATGCGATTGTCATCCAAGGCGTGATATGGATAGCAGGCAGGAAGCGTGGCTGCAGTCGTTCACAACCCCTCGAATCCTTCAGGATAGAACGGTGGCAAGTGACTGACTAGGCCATGTCCCCCCCCCCTTACTCTTGTTTCGTTCATTCGGTTTTTCATTCGGCTTGTTTACTAGAGACTCGCGTTCACATTTGGGTTTTCTGGTTCTTACCTCACGCCGGCAGCGTTTTGTGTAATATTTTATTCTGAAATTCTTGTGTTGCCTTTAAGATGGCCCGTCGAGAGAAGGGCTACACGCCCGTGTATTCAGACGAGCGATCCGCAACGAGTCTCGATAATGTTGAGGTCGAGCTGTCGGAAGCTCGAGCAAAGCAGCCGTCACAGTGGCACAGGTTCAGATCATGGACACTTCATGCTATCTTTATCATAGCATACTCAACGATATTCGTCATTTCAATGATCCGGGGCAGACTGAGTGCTGGAGTATTCAGTCAAATTGATTGTATGCTGATTAGCTTGGAGGCATTGTTTTGAAACCAAACGCTGATCTTGATAACAGCCCCCCCAAGAGCTATCGGCGATGAGACTCATCTTGAAGTCTTCCCCATTCAAGGACCTCCACATGGGAAATACACTGGGGAACCTCGACCTGAAGTTGATCAGGCTTGGAAAGATTTGCTGCAGTGTCCGTGAGTCTCTAGCTTATTCCACTGAGTCTATGCTGATCAAACGATACAGACAACAACATCAGAGTATCAGATGAATGGGTGCACCGCTGGGGCCGACAACATGAAGCTGTAAAGCTGCCAGATGGCGGATACCTGGGCATGTTGAGCGTTTTCCATGAGCTTCACTGCATCGTATGTTCTGCTCGCGGTTCCGAGTGTGTTAGGGTCGCTAATTTAGGGCATCAGAAACGGCTTTATCAGACTCTGTCACCCAAGTACTACTTCCCGAACGCAACGGACAAGGAAATCGCGATCAACAGAGAGCACAACCAGCACTGTTTGGAGGTGCTTAGAATGGGGGCAGCATGTCGAGGCGACATATCCATCATCACTCACATGTGGACCGACAAAGATGCCCAGCCCATCGTCAATCAGACGGCGCCTCACCAATGCGTGAATTTCAATCAGGTCATGGATTACTCGCGAGACAACGCCGTGGACGTTTATCAGGACAACTACATTGTCCATCCAAAGTTCGGTCAGTGGAAACATCTCATGAGAGGACAAGCATGAGCACCTGCTAATCACGCTGTTCAGGCCCCTCGTTCCCTCATGGGCATAGCATCAAACCGTTCAAAGAGCAGGCAATGGGACGTCACCACTGATAGACGCGATCGACGGTGTATTTGCGGGACTAAAATGGAATCCTGATGAGATGGAATGGAATGCCAAGAACGACCGAGGAGCCTGGTGCTTGCTTTTGGAGATGCCTTGTGTGAATGTCGCGTTGGTGATTGAGAATTTGAGATGTTTTCTAACAGCACGTAAAGTAAAGCAGAGGCGGGCAACATGTTACGAAAAAACAATATCAAAAGACTTAACAGACTGTGGTTAAAAAGATTTCAATCCCAAAAACAAGTGAGACAGACAGATATCTCCAAGAAAATGAAGAAATAACACTGGATGAGACGATGGCACTGGAGTGTTGACACTGATACCAAAAGTGGAGAACGGGCGGTGACCCCATATTTCGGTGAATATCCAATTCGTCCTTTCGGTTGAATCCTGACCGAGAGTCACGTGGCCTGAAATTTTCAGATCGCAGGGGGGAAAAAAAGTTCTTTGGCCTCCATAGCATCCACCCAAAGCCTGCGCCGGCCACCTTCTTCCGCCGACAACCACCACCACACTCACGCCAGTTTAAACGCCGACTTCAAGATGCATTTGATGTACACTCTCGACGAGGCGGGCAACCGTCTGTACACCTTGAAGAAGGTTGCCGACGGCAAGGTCACCAAGTCCGCGCACCCTGCCCGTTTCTCCCCCGACGACAAGTGGTCGCGCCAGCGCGTCACCCTCAAGCGTCGCTTCAACCTTCTTCTCACCCAGCAGAGTGAGTACATGATCTCTTCCCATCGTGGCCATTGGTTGCAGTGACTAATTACCCCTCCACAGAGACCGAGTAATTTCCTAAAACCAAACGAACGGCATCTTACCATCATATACCCGGCCGAGACACAACCGTTCCGACCAGCATCACATGACGGCGACGGATTGTTCGACTGGCAGGAGAGAGCGTCAGCACTGCGCAGCGTGGGGAAAGAGCATAACGGTTCGCGGGTGCTCCCCGATCCATGGCTCTGGCACATAAAAACTAAAGGCGTTGGGGGGGAAGGCTTGTGTTCATGGGGAAACCGGAGTCTGTTACACGGTCCGTTTTGGGGCAGACCGCTCTGCGATATCAAGCAGAAGCGACGCATTTAAGAATTCAACCTTATTTTGTCTTCCCAGTCCTATGAAGAGTGCCCTTTACCCATCCGTCCATCCTTTTTGAGGTCTATCATGGTATCATGCAGAACATTTAAACATCTCGTCGACCGCCACACAGCCAGACTATGCCGTCTACCTCTTCTTGCGCCCGTTCACGTTTCTTCCAGGGCCCAACCGCACCTTTCCGTTGTTGCTCGTACGATCACCCGTCAGGATGCTTGGTAGGTAATCCTCGTCCATGAGGTCCCTGCGACGGGCGCGACGGTTTTCACCAACAGCCTTCTCATACTCCCTCTGGTCCTCCGCAAAGATGAGGTTGGTACCCCAATTGTTCTTGCCGCCGGCATGTTTCGCCAGCTTGCCGCTGGAGGTTCCAGCGACCGGCTTGGGAATGCTGAAGACATTGCCTCTGTTGTTCCACTGGAAGTTGCGCTTCAGGTGGATTTTGAAGGAGCCGTCCTCCTCGGTGGTGCACGAGGTTCGCGTGAGCGTCGCTTGTCCGCAGCTGGGGCAAAACTGCTTGTCCATCTTTTTACAGACCTGGAAGCAGCCGTGGCAACGCAGAACCCAGGTCTTGAGCTGTGTAATGCGCGACATGGCAGGCGACAGCAGGTTGAGCCCAATTCTTAGGGCGACGTTCTGCATGGCATAGTCAGAGGTGAGAATGCCCACCTTGACGTCGACTGCCGGCTCCGTCGGTTGGAGCCTCTTGCTGTCCTTCTCCTTGTGCTTCTTGACGTTGGACGGCGTGATCCAGCCGTCCTCGTCGTCCGATGCGTCTTCCTTTGCGACGACTGCTTCGGCGGTACTCTCTTCGACCGCCGCTTGCTCCTCGTTGGGCTTGTCCTCTTGAACTTCCAGTTTCTCCATCTCTTGTGTGATGTCCGTCGCATCCGCAATCGCAGGCGGAGCTTGCGTTGCCTCGTCGCTTGCGGTCGCCTCAGTCTCGGTGCTGTCTGCATTCCCCTTCACCCCCGTAGAAGTCTCGTCTTCGACTGTCTCGCCTTGGACCGAGGACACCTCTTGGTTAGGCTTACCCTCGGCAGCATCGCTGGTGGCTGACTTTGGGGTGTTGGGGATGCGCTGATTGGGGTCCTTGCGAAGTCTAGAGTCGCCACCATTCTTCTCGACATCGAGCTCGTAGGTAAGAGCAAGCAGGTGCAAATCGGGTCTGCTGAGAACTTCGAGATCTCCAGTGCGGCGCGCAAAGTTGGTAACGAACTTGATGCTGTCGGGACGCGGGTTGCGCAGCTTGACGAAGGGCATGAGGGTAGTCTGGACGCGGGTGCGGGTGTTGACGTCGCGAATCTCGTCGATGATGGAAGGGAGCATGAACAGTTCGTCGGCCCGGGCGAGAAGAGTGCTCACGGGAGGGTCGTTCTTGATCAACGGACCGGTATCGAGGACGAGGGTGTGGATGGGCTTGCGCTCTTGGGTCGCCGCGGGGCTAGCGACCGCTGGAGCGGGCGCCGTTTCAATAGACATTTTGGCGGTAATGGATATTTCGCCAGTTACTCCAAGCAGTCCGGAAATATTATCGACAGTCGAAAACTTGCAGGGCCACTTCAAATGCAGTCGCAACGCGGGCGATGATTAGGAGAGGCGGCGAATTGATTTTGAAAGGTACGGGAAATTTCCTCTATCGCGGGGTTGTGGTGGGGTGTAATTTTTTTCGATAAGCCAGTGCTGCTGCGCCCGTACCTGTCGGTCAGTCACACCAGGTCCCCGGCCTCACCGCTCACCTCAGACCGCTTGCTCGGTGAACAGGTCGTACTCTAGCTCACCTCGGGTCCTCACCGCCCTGCACCCAAATTGCGATTGCAACATGGCCGCTCAGGTCAGGTGCAGATCAATTTGAACGTCACAGGGAATACCATGACAGCAGGAAGACGCCGACGCTACCGCCGCGTGCGCCGTAGGCATTGCTCAACATCTGCAAAGACCGATCACGACATCCCCAAGATCTGCGTCTCCTCAAGTCCGGCAATGGACAAATGACGGCTAGCTGATCCGCCTGAATGCTGCGGAAAAGTAAGATCCCGCCAACCAAGGTTGCGATGAAGCTTGTGACTGTAACTATGCCAAAGACACGTCGGCTGTCGGTCAGTGTTGAATGGAATTGACTCGTCTGTGAGGTGCATCTGTTGGCCAGAGCATCTCAAGCTTGCGATCAAATCAGAGTCAGTGATGGATGCTTTTCAACACGCAATATGCCTGTATCACATCTCTCCTCAAACCGTTCAGAAGAACAGAACGGTTCTATGAAAAGCAATCGGGCACATGTCAGATCAAGATGCTCATGCAGGCACCTCTGCGGCTCTCGGTGTCGGCTCTCGGCCAAACAGACCGACAGCCTGCCATGCGACAGAACAATGTGGAATATTTTGCGCTCTTCCCGGGTCTGTGTGTCGCGTGACCGTGCTCTCATCGGAGCCTCGAGTTTGAATGAAGCACCGTTGAAGTGATCCGTTACAAATGGTACGTGATTTATGTGTTCTAATCCAGCTGTTTCTTCTTCGGTCTCTGGTGTCTGGTGTCCAGTGACGACCGACTGCCGACCCGGGGATCTGGCGGTGGATGATGCTCCATTCAACACGGTGTAAGGTGAGTTCCTTGATCAAGGTATTCCTGACGTGGCTCTCAGTGGACCTGTTGGGCTTTTGCTTTCCGAAGCTGCCGTCAGGAGCGATGTGTGCTTCGTTAAGATGACATGAATTGTACAGCCTCATCTGTCCACCTAAGTAGCTATCAATGCCGAACAATGAAGACTCTGGGTTTACCGTGGTATGTAAGTTACCTAGGTAGTTTAGGAGCCAGCTCCGTCTCACTGGCTGCCCTGTCCGTTGCAGTCGGTGGCAATTTTCAGGGCAATCTTGACGAAGCTGGACCCCGTCATTCCCCGGAGAGTTTTTCGGGCAACCGAGTTGGGGGGACAAGGGGCCACTGTGAAGTACCTACTTCGTCGTCAGACACCCCCCTAGAGTGTCTCCGAAAGAGCCCCGGCTACCTACCATTTGTTGCTTTCGTCCGCGGGTAATGGTTGATGAAGAGAACGGTCACTCACTTGTGCCTGCATTCCGTTCCCTGCTTCCACCTGCCGTACTGCGTATGTACACAGCTGCTCATTGCCTTGCCTTGCCTTGCCATTGCTCCATTGCCTTGCCTGCCCCGAGCAGAAAATTGTTCTAGCTACGGATAGACCTCCTCCCATCACCTTTTGTTACACGTACAGCCACCGGCTACCTTGTTGTTCCCCGGATTTATCCTGCATGTTTGTACCTACCGTTCACAGTAAACACTCAGTCGCATACACACACGCGCGCGCGCGCAGAGAGAGGACTGGACACACAGGTCGCCGTGTTCTGAGTTGAGACCCACGCCGATTGTTCCCCGGAATGGGAAATCCATGAGCCCTTAGACCGAGCCTCATCCCTCTCCATGTCTGCAGCAGACGCCGCCGAGTTCCGGTGACAGGAATCGAGGCCGCGCCCACGCGTATTCGCTCGTGTCTGGGACAATGGCAGACTTATTCGGTAGTAGCAGCGGCAACAGTAACAATCACCCCCAAATCCCAAACACCATCAATCACAATAGCAACGACAACCTGGGACATCACCTCCGACCCGACGGACCACCGACAGCCGCACCCGCGACCACCACCAACAACATCCAGTCCGACCTGTCTGCTCCCTCGGCCTCAGCCTCAGCCGGTCCCGGTCCCGGTGCTGCCACTGCCGTGACAGCATCAGCCTCGTCCGTGTCTCCGAAGCCAACCAAGCGGTCCTCGACAACGACATGCGTCACTTGTCGAGCCCGAAAGGTCCGTTGTGATGGCCGCCGCGAAGTATGCAGCAACTGCGACCGTCTCGGCTTCAACTGCACCTACGAGGATCCCAACTCGGACCCCAATGGCCTCTCATCCGGTCCATCCTTCCCCTTACCCCGACGTCGCGTACGTCAAGCTTGTGAGAGCTGTCACTCCCGCAAGGCCCGGTGCAGCGGCGACACCCCGGCCTGCCAAAGATGTCGTAACCAGGGCATCGAGTGTGTTTACCGGGCATCCAAACGAGCTCGCCTGAGCATCCATCACGCTCCCCGTGTCGACCAAGTTGTAAGATCACCTACGACATCATCGGCTGCCGCTGCCCGTGAGCAGCAGGTGCGTCGGTCACAGTCTAGAGATGATGGCGCTCACGACTCCGATGCCGGTGGGCCGGAAGTCATGGCCTCCAACACCCCAAGTACTTTCAACCAGGAACTGTAGGCTGGCTCTCATTCAATTGAAATATAGCTGTTACTAACTATTCACAGCTCGGCGTCTGATCCCCAATTCGAGTCGCTCATCAGTCGAGCACTCGACAATTTCTTTCGTCATGTTCATCACATCCCCATGCTCTCATTCCTACATCGTGCTTCACTCATGCAAAGGCACCACGCCGGTGGTCTAGACCGACCACTGCTGCTCGCTCTCATCGGCATCACGAGTATGCTCACCGACCTGGGGCCAGGCACGAAAGAGTATGGTGAGAAGTGTGTCGATGAATCCGAGGCATTGATTCTGAAAAGCTTGGAGAACCCCTCAACCATCAAGGTTCAGACACTCGCCCTCATAATCAAATACCGCATCTTGACTCGGCGCTTCTCCAGCGCCTTTGTACTCGCCGCCACCGCTGCGAGATTTGCCATGGCACTGCGTCTTAATCACGAGAACAGCGACTTGTGCTTCTTGGCTCAGGAATCAAGACGTCGCCTCATGTGGGCGTTGTTCATGATCGACCAGGGCATGGCCGGCGGATACCGAGATCTCACCTTGTGGTCTCCCGAGCTCATCCATATCCCGCTTCCATGCAACGAGCGAGACTTTGAGTTTGATCTCGCACCACCTTCGATGCGAAGCTTGGTTCCTCAGCCCGACGAGTCCGAGAACGACGACATCGGCAGCCTCGCACTTCACGTACGTATCCTCTGGGTTCGCGGCCGGATCTTGAAGTTTGCCAAAAGAGCGGCGGCCTGCTCCAACGACGATGACCTGGCTCGCATGCGTGATCAGCTGCAAGCATTTGCCAAGGAGCTCTCAGAGTTCGCCGAAAGATTGCCCGTATCTTTCCGGTGGTCCGATAACAGCCTGCGGCTGCGAGCGTACTCGCCGCGACTCTGCGTGTTCATCATGATTCACATCTGGTGGCGTCAGTGCCATTGCGATCTGTACCGATTAGGACTCGTAGGACTGCGAGACTCCCTTTCACGCACTGCCGCTGAACGGCTAGGACCCGACTTTAGCGCCCAATGTCAACGGCAATGCTTCGAACATGCCCTGGAGATGTCCAACATGTTTACCTCCATTAAGCAGTTGGACCACTACCCTGTAGCAGACTTGGATATGCCTGTCTGTGCTTATCAGTGTGTCCGCATGCTATATTATATCTACCATCTCAACGCGGAGGAGTATGGTCTCACCCCTGACGTCCTCCGGAAGAAGGCTTCGATCTGTCTTGACGTCACTAAGGGTTGTTGTTCCGGAACAGCAGCAAACGCAATTGTGAGTCTTGCAATCACACTAGTTCCCTTCACCGCTGACTTCTCCCCCAGCAAACCGATCTACAGCGTCTCATGGACCACGGTCTCTCAATACAGGCCACGCCTAGCCGACTGGTCAGTGAAGAACCGCATGACGAGAGAAACGGAAACGGGCCGAAGCGCGTATCGCGACTGGGCCGGGCGAAGCAAGTGCAGCTCGTGGATGATCCGGACAGCGGTGCGCCCGCCGCCGACGAGCTCACCAATCGGCCTTTTGGCATCGGTGCCTGGGAAGACATTCAAGTCGTCGAGTCGGACAAGCCGGACGAGGAGATGTTGCCGGCGCCGCCGCCCGCTGGACCTGGCTCACTCGAGGTCAACAACGCTTTCGAGGGCGCGTTGGACAGCCTTGACTTTAACATGGAGCCCATGGGTCTAGAATCCCTTGCTTGGTTCTCCAACGAGTGGTCTCAAGGAGACTTTCAGGACTTTCAATGAAGCGGGGGATACTTCACAATCAGACGAAAAGCCCCGATGAGTTCGTAAACTCGGGTGAAACGGGAACGAAATTGCCGTCTTGCCGATGACAAAGGGGCAGAAACTGACAGCCGCGAACCTTGAGGTTGGTACTCGGCACGATATGACAAGAGTCAAATTGCAAAGTCAGGGATCTATCATTCATGTGTAAGTATTTTCTTATGAAGTACACAAGCAGCTTGCTAAAGGCGAGCCGCCAGATAAGCAGGATGTGCTACACACGTACAGCTAGTCTATTCCGTACCAATTATCCCACCGGCGATGGACCCGAAACCCTCGGGAGTTTAAGTGCCGCCGCGCTCTTTCTTGAGTCAATAACGGAGGCTTCGGCGGCATATCTCAGATGATAAGGGTCTTCAAATTACGCTGCAAACCTTGCTGGGAGATAGCAAGGTAACGTGCCAGACCATGAAGCAGATGGTCTGATGAATCCGGATGCAACTTGCGAAAAACCATGACAACCGGGTGTGGGCATTATTGGAGAGGCTTTGAATAAACTCATGAGAGTACTCATAGGATACATTCCTCTGTAACGTCTTAATGTATACCTACATCTCAAAAAGACACGCAGCGTCATGCCATTGTGCCAACATCCACCAGACCCATACTTATTCTACCGCCTGTGAATGCTAATGTTCAGTTCCAAGGGCTTTCTCAAGAATCCCTCCTTGGTATCCATGTAGTCTTGCTTCAATTCGACGCGGTAACGCCTCGCCCACGTAGCCACAATAAGCTTCATCTCCATCTCGGCAACATTTCTGCCCACACAGGCGCGGGGACCGTGGCTGAAAGGAATGAAGGCGTTCTTCTGCCTGGTCGTGACAGACTCCCATCTCTCCGGGCGGAAGTCGTCCGCGTCGGGGCCCCAGATCTCCTTGGAGTGGTGCATCGTGTACGACGGCACGCTGAGGACGGTGCCAGGTGGGAAGAAGTGGCCGCGGATCGACACGCCCTGGGAGTCGGCGGGAATCTCGCGCGGCAGACCGATACCGGATGTGGAGTGGAACCGGAGCGTCTCGTTGATCACCATGCCCAGGTAGGGCAAGTCGCGCACCATTTCGTAGGTAGGAACATCAACGCTAGCGGGAATCGCAGCGTCCAGCTCGGCCTGGAGCTTCTCGATGACACCGGGGGTTCTGGCAACGTGGAATAGCAGGGCGCATGATGAGTTGGACGTCGTGTCGCTGCCTGCAATGAGCTGCGTCAAGGCCTCGGCCGTGAGCTCCTCTCTACCAAGCGGCTGTCCCTTGTCGTCGCGACCCTCCATCAAGCGGGCAAGGAGATCCAGACGGTCGACATCGGGAGGGTTGTCCAGACGAGCCTTGACGCGAGCAATGGCCATTCCGGCGAGGTTCTGCACGGCCTCGAGACCTTGGCTGAAGAACGGGTCCGGAATGTACTTGGCCCAGGGCTTCATCTCGGGGTAGATTCCCAGCGTAGCAGACACCTCGCCACGGCGGTTGAGAATCTCAATGGCCGGGGCGTAGATGGGCGGGCTGTTTGGTGATTCACGGACCTCGGCAATGTCGGCACCAGCTGCCAGCATACCAAACGGCGCACCAAAGGCGAGGTCGCCGATCACGTCAAAGGCCAGATAGTTGAACCACTTGAGGCAGTCGAGCACGGCGCCCTGCTTGGCCGGGCTGTTCTGAATCAGCTCGTCCCACTTCTTGACGAAGAGCGCGAGGTTCTCGTGCATGTACGGCTCGAACTGGCCGATGGATTTGACAGAGAAGGTGTGCGAGACAATCTTGCGCTTGCGGGAGTGCTCATGGCGGTCTCGGGTGTTGAAGAGGCCTCGCTGGATGGAGACGAAGGCATCGTAGAAGTTGCTGGTGCGGGGTCAGCTAGTGTCTCTTCTGAGGAAGCATACGGGTGCGTATTGCTTTGCTCAGGTTCACATATACGTACGATTTCAGGAATCCATTTCCGTGTCCGTAGATAATGTTAATCGCATCGTCGTCCGCGATGCTCACGTGGTTGGGCTGGATCCGCACCACAGGACCCAGCTCCTTGTGAAGCTTATCAACCGTCTCGTATCTGTCTCCGCGCCGGACAATATACAGCAACCAGAAATTTGTGAACTGCGCCGGGAAGGGAGAGGGGATGCCACGCAAATGTGCGTACGTGACAAAGTACGGGTATAGGTAGTAGGCCACCAAGCCTGCAGCCAGCAGGGCCGGTGCCCATGGCGAGATGAGAAGCTCGATGAGGGCCATCGTGAGGGTCTGCTTTTCTCAGTGCGTCTCAATTCTCTCGGATCAGGAATTGTGTGAAGAGAAATATTGTAAAAATAAAATAAAAAAAGATGGGGAAGCGAAGAAGCGAGACTGATATAAACCAGTTGAGACCAGGTCATCCACACATCAGCAACGTTTACGGGAATAATCAAAAAGTGTCGAGACTGGGGCGCCGGGGCCTTCTTGTAGTCGTTTTGGTCCTCTCACATGAGTCTTTTTTGAAATAGAAGGGATGAAGGGGAAAATGCTAAAACTAGCACCGCCGAGACGGCCGTGACGCTATGCGTTAAGCTTTCTTCGGACCCTGCTGGGTGGATCTTGCGGGGATGCGCGGAGAACCGGTGTCTGTCCAGCCGCCGCCTCTCTGTGGCTCCTGGGCTCCTCTGGGCGCCTCCGAACTCGTTCTAGTGTAAGAGAAAGACGGTGCTGAGGCCAAGGAATGACCACGTCTAAACACGAAATGCCCCAAGACGCTCCCCTTGGAGCCCCCGCGCCCCCGCACCCGGCACTGAGCCCGGCAAGTACGGGCGAGACGGCAATGAATATCGGGATCACGACTCGGCCTACAACGGCGTTTGAAGACGGCGCGAGGTCGTCTTTCTTCCGTCTCTCCAACCGATCCCACCGCCTCAAGTGGGTTCGCTCCGTCATGCAGCTCGGCTTGGCCGCACGTCATATGCCCCCTAGACATGTGTCAGTCTGCAGTCACTGCGTGTCGTGTTTCCTCCCTGACGAGGCCTTGGAGATAGGAGAGGTTCAGTAATCGTTGGTGAAGTAGTGGTCCATATTTTTAGATTGCATACTAAACACGCCGTGAATATATCAACAAGCCACTTGCTAAAGCCCGTTTTCCAATGCCCCAAGAAACTCCGTAGCTGATGCGCTGAGTCTGAGTCGCATGGCTAAATGATGTGAAAATAACGAGAATATGAATGGCGCCGTGTCTCACGTCTTCTACGGTGAAGCAAGGCCGATGTCGCTCTCTTTCTATGTATAGAATCTCAAGATGCCCCAGTGTCATTTCAGCATGTATGATAGGTCAGGCAGATTCCGCAAAATCTGCTGCACCAGCTCAGAATCGTCGGTACTATTCCGCGGCTGAGCTGTGGACGGGGTCCCTAGGCCCGATGTTAGAGGCGTGTTCAGCAGCCCTCCCGCAGATACGCCGGCTTTACCATCGTGAGATGGGGCTGGCGGGTCGATCGAGTTTGGCGCTATGGAGATGTTCGGTGGTCGCTTCTTCACTGACGCCGGTCTGAAGGCGTACGTCGACTCTGGCGGCTTAATCGAACCGACTTGGCTATGGGGTGCGCCTGCTGGTGCAGCTGGTGTGGAGGCGGGGGCGGGGCGGATTACATTGCCAATATCCTTGACTCCTGATTTGCTCTCCTCCGCTGTCTTATTCCCGGTGCCGAGACTTTCGGGTCTGGGGTTGGAAGCCAAGGGGCCGTCAGAGGGCGCGGTCAGCAGTGCATCGGGTAGCGGGTTCGTCGAGAACGAATCCCAACTCGTCTTGGGAAGAGACGTCGAGTCTGTTGCTTCTGCAGTTGTCGGAGAAACCATGTCGCCCCATTCATCGTCCTCGTCTTCATCCTCTGCCTCTTTTTCAGACGGCTTATCGGCCGTTGAAGTCGCAGGCACGAATGGCTTAGTGGACGCAAAGACAGGCAAGGAGGCATGCGACTTTGGTGTGTTGTCAAAGCCTCGGAAACCGAGGGGAAGCGGTTTCGCGAAGTTAGTGCGCTCAGGTGCCTTTGCTTCTTCTCCTGCCTTTGTATCACCAGATGCAGTGCTCCAGCCGAACGAGGCCAGTCCTCCCCAATTGTCCTTGGCCTGAGCAGAAGCTGGCGTGCTCTCCTTGGACGCAGGAACCATGGGTGCCGTCGAAAGAGAAGGCAGAGCATGAATAGAGTGGGTAGGTCGATGCACGGAAGCTTGCCGCTTTGCTTTGCGTCCAAACACCCGATCCAAGTCAACTGGCGTCGACTCTGTTGTCGAGTCCCAGCCAAAGAACTTGCCGCCTGCTTTCCTAGCCAGACCTCCCCGGAAAGCGCGTCCTCCCATTGAGTCTTCCTCCATCCACCTGCGCACAATCTTCATCGTCTCATCTCGCATCGTGGAGTTCATCCAAGTGATACGGACATAATTCTCATCGTGTCCAACGTTGAATTTGCGAAGGGATTCGTGGCGCGACAGCCGATACCACATCTTGCGTTCTGATATGCCGGTGAAACTGTCGGTGATGATCCGGTCCGTCACGTCTCCCGGGTCTTCTGGTGTTGGTAGAGAGGTAGACTCAGGTACTAAGGCGTCTAGATTGCTTAAGTCGACCACGAAAGGATCGTGCTCTGGAACCTTTGGCTTTCGAAGCTCCTCCCATTCGTTTGCAACGTCGCTTTGAGTCTTGGCGGAATCCTTCTCAACGTCTTCAGTGGAGGATGCTTGCACCGGTCTTGATTCGTCGTCGTTCGAGGATATGGAGTCATCCAAGTCATGGATCGAGGCATCGTCTGTACTTGCGTTCAAATCTCTGCTGGCACTTCGCCGGGGGGGAGGCTGCCGCTCGGGAGTGACGGTTGTCCTCTTGGCTATTCCATCGTACATCTCTACCAAGGACTGGACCTTGGACGAGGCTTTCCTCTGTATGCTCTTGGCAATTGGGTTGTCTTCGATCGAAGTTATGGGGGAGTCGGCGTGTGGCACATCTTGAGGTTCGTCGTCGTCGTCATCTTCAACTTCGTCCTCTTCTCCAGATGATGCGGATGCTGAGGAAGGTGACGGCCCGTCAAACTGCGCAGGTTGATAGTCGTTCACGGGAATATCCGCGATGTCGTCGGGAGGCTTGGATATGGATTCGAGTATGTCTTGGTGGAAGTCGAAGATGGGGCGTCCGTTTGTTGAATTACTTTCAGGTATTATTTGTCTCGGGGTATCTGGTTCGAGCTCAATGGTGGGAGTGTCAAGTGCCGTCGACGGCACATCGGGTATCTGGGGCAGTTGCGCCAAAGGCTCGGGGTCGTCTTTGGTGAAGGAGGAAGCATTTGCCCATGGATCTGGTGAGAAGCGGCCTGACGATAGGCTATTTGGTGTAGTTGGTGCCCTCAGGCCTGGCGAAGCTGAGCGGCTCAAGGGCCATTTGGGAGTGCTGCTCTTGCGACGGGGCCTCGGCTCGTAGCTGGGGGTGAGCTGCTCAATTGGCGCAGGCTCGTTGCCCCAAGCCCATGGCGACGCGTTCGAAGCTTTGGCGGGGTCCGGAGACGCCCAATCGCCAAACGCATCGTCGTCTAGCCCCCATGGTGACTGGGCAGAAGGCAATGTCAGATTGCTCGGGGTGGAGAGGAAGGCGGCGGGCGGAGGTTCGAGGATGGTCTTGGAGGGACTGGTTGACGGCGCGGTGGGATTGTCGGAAGTTGCCCACGGGGAGCCCCATGGATCGTCCATAGTGTGGAACTACAGCTCATGTTGTTGTCGATGCTCAATCGAAGGGATCAGGCCTTCGCGCATCGGCGGATTGTGGTGATCGGAGTCCGAGATTAGATGGCCATGGTCGACGGTTCGCGATGCGCAGCTCGAGAGGTCGGTTCCTGGGGTTGGTGGCAATGGCTGAGGTATCAGCCTAGGTATCCGTACGGGATGACGGATGCGGCGTTGGAGGGGGGCGCAAATGTCTCAATCGGTCAGGAAACAGCGACGGCACCAGCGTGGAACATGGAAAAAAGGAGCTTCTGCAACGCAGGAGGGAATGGACTGTGATGGCAAGCGAGGACACTCGTGGAATGGACGGCTGCATGTCCCAGACCGCGACCAGTGGACTACCCATGTCCAGGGACTCCGGACCCACGTCCAAGACAACAGCGCTGTCTCACGGTTCCTCGGGAGCTTCAGCAGCGTCTATTTTGGCTGGCTGCGGCCGGCCTGAGCGTTGTCTTCAGCACCGGAGGATGCTGAGCTAAGCGAGTTGACTAAGCCTGTCACTGTCAACTCTCAGCTCTCATGGAGAATTATTTGCTTTCCAAGGTGCGTTATCGAATCCCAGGTTCTGGCTGCCTGCAACTTCACCCCTTTGTTTCGAGGAGGACAGCTCGAGTATCATCGCCAAGACGCCCCGGCAGTAGGTACACCGACCAAATGCAGGTCGCGACGTGGTATCGTTGGTTGGCTGCCCAGCCGTTTACTCGCTCAAAACAAATCGAGAGCTCGATGCCGAGGTTTAGCCAGCCGGAGGAGCAGGATAAGAAGATTAGATACGGAGGGGAGCAGTCACTGTCCATACACCTTTTAATTCACTACGGCCAGCGCCGATGACGGCATGTGAGAGGCGAAAAAAACCTTCCTTTTGGAATGGAAGTCTTCTAGAACGTGTCAAAATTCCGTTCAAAAGCAGCCTCACTGACAATCTGAACGGAGGCTAATCAAACCCTGATCAACCCAGCCACTGGCCAGAATTCCGTCTTTGACTGACCAGTGCTTACCAACCACGGCGCCGATTGATTGACCTGGCCGGCAGAGGCAGGGTGGGGACGGACATCGCAGCTTCGCCGTCTTTCGTTGATTTGAAATGTGCCGCCCTTGACTTGTCTGCATCCTCACATCTCAACAACCTTGGCTTCCTCCTGTGTAGACACAATATTGGAATACCTCGTCATCCGTGCCAGACATTCGACTCTTCTCTCCCTCGGAAACGTCAAACCAACATGTCGCTTTCCAAGGTCAAGCATATTGTGCTGGTACTACCCCGCCATCCCACTGTCCTCGCGACGATCGTACACTGACTGGCTTGTGCAGGTCTTGTCGGGCAAAGGCGGCGTCGGAAAGTCGTCCGTCACGACTCAGCTCGCCCTATCGCTTTCTTTGGCGGGCTTCTCTGTCGGCGTTCTCGATGTCGACCTCACAGGCCCTTCCATCCCGCGCATGCTTTCTACTGAAGCCTCCAAGGTCACCCAGGCACCCGGCGGCTGGCTTCCCGTACCCGTCCACGATGCCGTCGAAGAAAAGGGCATCGGCCCGTTCCGTGCAATGAGTCTCGGATTCCTTCTTCCTCGGCGCGGCGACGCTGTCGTCTGGCGCGGTCCCAAAAAGACGGCCATGGTCCGGCAATTCCTCTCGGACGTCCTCTGGGATGAGACCGACTACCTCCTCATCGACACCCCTCCCGGCACCAGTGACGAGCACATTTCTCTCGCAGAGACTCTCATGCGCGATGCTCGACCTGGCCAGGTGGCGGGCGCGGTGGTCGTCACAACCCCTCAAGCCGTCGCAACCGCCGACGTCAAGAAGGAGCTCAACTTTTGCGTCAAGACTGGCCTTAAAGTGCTCGGCGTCATCGAGAACATGAGCGGCTTCGTCTGCCCGCACTGCTCCGAGTGCACCAACATCTTCAGCTCTGGGGGCGGAGAGGTCATGGCTCAGGAGTTCTCGGTGCCTTTCCTTGGAACCGTCCCCATCGATCCTCAGTTTGGTGAGCTTGTCGAGTCGGGCAAGAGACCGCAGTACCCCCAAGGTACCCAAGTCAACGGTCAGGACCTCAGCCAGTCCAATATGCAGTCAGGCGATACTCTCGTTGAGAAATATCAGGACTGTTCACTCTCAGGTATCTTCAAGGAAATTACGACCAAGTTGACAACGACCGTCGAAAGTCAGGCCCAGTCATGAACGAGTTGAAGAAGCATCCATCACACAACCAAGCAGATGCCATCCGCGCACTTGGTGGCTCAAATGTCCAGGCGATGGTCCAGAGGGACTTGGGTTGAGAGAGCCTTCACGCCCTGCCTACTCCAACAAGATGAAGGCGCTGTGCAGAGACGCCAGCAGCAGCACAACCGGAAGAGTCCCCTGTTGACGCATCATCAAGTTCCCCTCAAATTGCAGCAGCATGACTGCTGCGGATCATGGCGATGCAACGCATTGTCGGCGACAACTGATGGGCAGCGTAGAATACGATGCATGGCATTGGGCAGGCTTGGAGTCAGGACATGTGAGGGTGGCTGAGATTGGCGGAATCCCTGGCCGGGCTGGCGTTCTCCCCAGAAAAAGCCCCGCCAACGTCTCGACGGTGCCTGATTGACATTGGATTGGCCTGCCCTGGAGCGGCCGAACTCAGGCTTCAGTCGCCGAGGGTACCTTATTAGTACTCGCGGTCTCACCGCATTATTGAAAGTGTACCTTACCTTGCGAAACAACGGAGAATACTACGTCGGTTGTTCAAGAGTCAGTGTACTAAACAAGACTCAACCCAATATCAATCGATTATTTACACAATTACTCGCCAGGAAGATTATGTACTCCCCTGACCCCTCTGTTCCCATTGCATGAGTGTGTCTCGGTGTCAAGCCCAGACCACGAGGTAAGGTACAGAGTACAGCAGGGGAGCTGACGAAAATGACGTCTCGCTCCATTCTTCACGGCGCGTCTCCTGCATGGCATAGTCGCCCCCTTCCGCGAGACAAGCCAATTGGCCGTACCTCACGAGCAGACGCATATTATCCGCTGCCCGTTCTCTCCCGGGCAGAGCTCCCCCATAAACCAATGATCTGGCGCGAACATGCGGACGGAAGCTACTGAACGGGAACAAGATGCAGCGAGGAAGGGCTGGTCAACAGAAAGAAACGACCAGATACATGAGATGAAAAACACCTCCTCATAAGGTTCCCTGTCGCTGTTTGGCTGTTTGGGCTGAAATTTTCCAGGTTAGGTGGGGGACGACAACGCGCCCAGCCCGCCGAGGGTGGACACTGGCCTGACGGGACGCTAGGGGAGGGGTACCTAGAAATACCTAACCTTACCTGGGTGTTCAAGACAGGGAACCGCCAATCGCCGATGCGCAGAATCAACTTTTTTTTCCACTTTGTGTTCCCCTCCACGGCCTCCACAGAAAACCACAACCACAACAACCTCGCGGAATCTAGCTGGAAGCTTCAAAATTCGAGCTTGATCCTGTCTTCCACCCTCAAGACACGTTGTGCGACTTGAAAACCCGTCCGCCTTGTTTCGTTCTGTCGAGAGCTGCTCTCTGACTAGTTCGATCACTTCAGCTTCAATTTTTGCCATCGCCGGCGCATCACTCTCTGCCGTCACGAGACTCCTCCTCGACACCTGTCCCCCGTATCGTGCCAGCGCATCAATCGGAAGCTTCTCCGGCCGACCTTTCTCGAGATACCCATCTAGAGATCCAAATCTTTCGATGATCAATCCTCGAATCTAACACCACATCACGGTGATACACACGTCGTTGGCCTGCTTCTGCCGCCTTCGCCCCTCCATCTCTGCCGATTTCTGGCCGTCTATGAACCGGATCGACCTCCTACGCTTCCTCTCCAAGCCCGCAAAGTACGTTTCTCCGTCCTTCTCCCATTCTCTCCCTCTTTGGGTCTGCTGTAAAGCTCCAAGCCGCCGGGAATGAGGTGTTGGTCCTTTGAGGACCAGCCATGCTTTTGCAATCTACCATCCTTCTTCTCCTCATGTTACTAACAGATTTTCCCAGGCCCAGATAACACCTGCTGATATTCCAAGCACCAACATACTTCGACTGACTGCCCATACGAGCCTCTTTGTCTTCCTCGTCCGTACCCTCAAACCCCGATCACGCAGATAACCTCGTCTGCTAGGTCCGATACTCCACCACAGGTATCGGTGTCTGCCAGAGCGAGGCCCTTCTATCGAGCCAACATTCCGCTCCCAAGGGTCTTTTTCCTACCCCTCCAAGCCCGGCCTCCCTAACGTCCTTTCGAGTGACGTTAAAACCCCTCTATCAATACCATTGCTGCTGGCTCCGCCAGCCTCAACGAACGTCCACCCTCCTGTGGGCCTACTCTCTCAAACGAACGCCGCAAAGTTCGTTTGAGTGGTAGCTAGTGTCCCGCGGACTTCTAGCCCTCCTGTTCCGAGAACACCACATCTCCATCTCGTCAATAATATCCCGGGTCGCGCCCAGATAGCCCGCCCCGCTGAAGATGGTCAACCTCTCGGTCCCCAACAACTACACCTTCTCTCCGTCTGAGGCAACTCCTCATCTGACTATCAATCACGATGTCGCTGCCGATCTAGACTCGAGCAACGCCTTCGAGGGCCCCGAGAAGCTCCTCGAAGTCTGGTTCGCTCCTGGTCCCGACGCTCTCCCCGCGAGCGCCCAGCCCGATGGACTGAAGGCTGTCTCCGCCGACACTTGGGTCACCATGCTCGACATGGTCAACTGCAAGATCTTGTCCGTCCTCGAGTCCGACTCCGTCGATGCCTACCTGCTCTCCGAGTCCAGCTTGTTTGTGTTCCCCCACAAGCTCATCCTCAAGACCTGCGGCACCACGACTTTGTTGCTGGGCTTGCAGCGTCTGCTCCATATCGCTGCTGAGCACGCTGGATTCCCCTTCCACAACGCAAAGGCGGCCACCGACATCAAGGCTGCCGCGACCCCCTACCGCGTCTTCTACAGTCGCAAGAACTTCCTGTTCCCTGATCGCCAGGAGGGTCCCCATCGCAGCTGGAAGTCGGAAGTCAAGTACCTCGACGACATGTTTGAAGGCGGCAGTGCTTACATGGTTGGCAAGATGAACGGAGACCATTGGTACCTGTACATCACCTCGCCCAACCAGACCTTGACACCTCCCCGCACTCCCGAGGAGAAGGAGACCCCTCTTGGGTCTGCGTCTCGTATCCCGACTGGCAGCGTTGCCAGCTTCAGCAGCGGTGTCGAGGAGCACAACGACGAAACTTTGGAGATTCTCATGACCGACCTCGACCCTGAGAATGCGAAGCAATTCTATTTGTCGCACGCGAGTGCGGTCGCTAGCGACAAATCGCATCTGCTGCAGACTCAGGCTGCTCGAGACAAGGCCCACGAGAGCTTGGGCGACCTTTCCCAGGTTCCTGAGAAGAGTTCTGATGAGGAGGTGGACGTTTTCAGCAACATTGGCGAGTCGGACCTCACCGATGCTGACCGCGCTGTCAAGGAGGCTATGACAACGGAGGGCCATGCTCTCGGTACCGTCGTGTCTGAGGGATGCGGTCTGTCCAGCGTCTACCCCACAAGCAAGTACCCCGGTGCGCGTGTCGATGCCTATCTCTTCAGCCCCTGTGGTTTCTCCGCCAACGGCGTCGTTCCTGCCATCACCGACGATGAGGACGCGTCCAAGAGCGAGAAGGGGGCCAACGCTGCTCACTACTTCACCGTCCATGTGACTCCTGAGCCCGACTGCTCGTTTGCCTCTTTCGAGACCAACGTGCCCGGCGGCCAGAGCGGCCGTACCACCGCGGAGATCATTGAGCACGTCGTAGAGATTTTCAAGCCTGGACGTTTCAGCGTTACCCTATTCGAGGCCAAGGGGAAGAGTGCCAACCCCTACGGTATGGGTGATTTTGTCTCCAGAACTACTGCGGCCCAGCGTTTGGTTGACCCTGTCCGGGGATACCGTCGTATCGACCGCATTGTCCATGACTTCGAGGACTACGATCTCGTGTTCCGTTTCTACGAGAAGGAGGACTGGGCGGGTGATCGTGAGGCCCGCCTCGGCGAGCTGATGTAGGATGAAAACGGGATTGCGGAGGATACAGTCTCTTCCGTCTTGCTGGACAACCTATTTCCTTGACTTGCCGTAGTTCATACTCCTAGGGCCCGCTCCCAACTTCCTCTCCTTCTCTCGGGGCACTTTGCGAGTAGCAAACCCCCTGCCATTTGCCATCCATCGGCCCGCGCCATATTTTGAACCGAGACAACCTTGGTCCACCACAATACATGATTTTGAGTTATCTTCAATTGCGGCATGATTCGTTGAGCCAATAATAACCTGGCTAGGTTGACTGCCCTGTCCACTAAACCTCGATAGACGTAGTCCATCTCGAGGCCATCTCGATTTAACGTGGAGGACGATCGTCATTCACGATGCTAGATAAGTTTTAGGTCCTCAACATCGATCCGCCAGCCTTTCTTTGGGGCTCTTGACTGACGGGAAATGTTCACGATGGTATGCTGTTCGCAACCGGCTGCATCTGGGGTCTCCAACCTCCAGCTGCTTTCCAGTCCAGCCAAAGTAATTGTTAGTACAGCCCTTGCGTGGAATGCACCAGGCTGATCTGCAGTTTGGGACCTTATCCCGTCGTAGACCCTGTCCTACAAAGGCCTCCGGCCCCCAAAGCTTGTCTTACATTGGAATGTTCCCAGGCCCACCCGCCACAACAGCAAGCGTTGGCCGTCATCGTGATGGACCAGCAATTTTCCAGCCATCCAATGCACAGCGATATATGAACTTGCGCAAGAACAGACAGATGAATCCCCGAAAAATCAAGCGAAACCTGCATGATCAAGTCAACCCAGCTCATCCTCATACCATGGCGCCTCCTCCGAAAGACGACGCCGTGAGCGTTGTCGAGTCGCTGGATGTCAAATCATCTGTATCTGGGAGCGATGTTTCCACAAAGTCTCCGCCGAAGCCTCTTCCCATTCTCTTGAGCATCGCCATGTTTCTCCTATTCATTGCGTCCGGCGGTGGTTTGACCACCTCCGCTCTTCAGTTCAGGCCTTCAAGATCGGGAAAGCGGGACTGTCTCACTCAAAGCTTCATCCTGTTCGCTGTAAGTCCTCGTTACTCGGCACACACGCTCACCGGAATGCTCGCTTAAATTATTGCTAGTCCATGATCTCGCCCATGTATCTCGTGCTACACCTGCTCGTCTCTTTCCGTAACTGCCAGTTCATCAGAAGACAGTCTCTCCAGTCACCTCTGGTCTCTTGGGCCATCATTGTCTCCCGCCTGGCCCTGCTCCTCTGGATTCCGGCAATTATCTTGTCGTGTGGCGCCGTTGCCCACTTCCCAGGGTTTCTCGCGGAGAGCCCCATCACGGAGCTCAACCTGGCGGTGTCCATCGTGGGGATGTAAGTGTTACCCAAACCTCGCAGTGCGTATCATAGTCTGACCTCCCCCCAGCGCCAGTGCCATAGTGGTTGTCCTAGTTCTGGAAATCGCGGCGCATCCCTTCGAGCTCCCCTGCTTCAAGCGGGCCACAACCGTCATCCTCGTCGAAGACGCAGACAAGGAAGCCAAGCCGGAAGAGGAGCCAAAGCCACCCAGCCGACCCCCGAGCCGACAACAAACCCCGCCGGCATACTACTACTTCCCTGCCAGCTACAGACATACCGTCCCGGCACCCGCACGCGCGAAACTCGTCCGCAAAGCCAGCTACCCCAAGCACCTTATGGCCCAGAACGTCCCGCCTGTCCCCGCCATGCCGTACCCGCACCCGGACTCGCTCGGCATCATGCTACCCATCCCGGAGCCGCTTCCCCCGCTGCCCGAGCTCGAACAGACGAACCCAAAACCCAAGATCAAAATCACACCGGCCCCTCCCGACATTCTGATTCCGGGAAAAGGCCTCCCGGCGGACAAGAATAAACCTTGCCCACCTCCGCCGGGAACTGCTTGGGCTAGGGATTGGGAACAGCTGGCGGTGGACGCTGGTGTCAGGCGGAACGGGTCTGTTAGCGACTATGGGTCCTCCGCCGGGACGGAGACTACGGAGGGGCGGTCGGAGGTGGGCGGGAGCGCGTTGAAGCCGCCTCTGCCGTCCATCATTGTCACGCACAGTCCTGAACCGGTTTGAGAATGGTAAGTATGTTGTCGTATGGATTATGGATGAGGTTACGGGTAACGAGGGATGAAGCGTGTTTCTTGTTTTCAACATTCGACCACCCTGTATTATTTCTTTTGTTCATCCCTTTTGTATAGTCGCTACGTGATGTCTGTCTAGTCTCAGTGAACAATCAAGTAATTTGGTTCCATTACCATGTTTCTAGGATCCATCGACACGTTTTCTCGCCCTGCCGAATTCCTCCATGTGGCTTGGTCTCGTATCTCGCATCGGCTCAGATCGTGCCCCGTCCTCTTGGGCATCAGCAAGCCACGTTTCTTGGCGTCGTGTTTCGTATTGCACCTTGTTTCCGCGCAATTCAGGATCTGCAGCTGAAATTTACCGGGGGCCAAGGGATCCTGTGTGAAATTACCCAATGCCACATTCATGTTTTGGTAACACGCTGGCCAAAGAGAGGCGTCAATCGGCGCCACATCGTGAGTTTTAAAGTAGCTGATCTTGGCGTGGAGGATCTTGCAAAGGGCACAGTTGAATAAGGGTGGCATCGCAAGATGCACTTACGTCAGATCATGCCGGGGCATTCTTACGACAAGCTTTGGCTACACGCTTTTTCGACGTATATAAAAGATGGACTACGACCTTTTGATAAACACGTTATTGTATTGCATGCTTTGTCGACATGTCAATTGCTCGAAAGCTGTAACCATGCGAGTGAATCAATCCCTTCTGCTGCCACTCATTGTGGTCTCCGCGCAACCGACTGTCACGATATCTTCAGGGGCCGTCCGAGGCATCTCAACGAACATTGGGGACGGGGTGGCGACAGTAAACAAGTTTCTCGGGATCCCGTACGCTACGACACCAGCCCGATTCTCCCGTCCGGAGTCTCCAGAGCCATGGACAGAGCCCCTTGATGCGACGGAATTTGGCCCAGCTTGCTATCAGAATTTCGGTCTCAATGGTTCGTCCACAATTCTCGAAGGTGACATAGTGTATACTAATCCACAATCTAGAACTTGGTCCTCGTCCCGAACTTTTGCAGACTTTGTTCAACACCCCAAAACCACCCGAGAGCGAGGATTGTCTGCGCATCAACGTCTTTGCGCCGGACTCTACGTCAAACGCCACCCGGGCAGTGTTGGTCTTCATCCATGGCGGGGGCTACCAGATGGGCCACGCAAGGATCGATCTCTCCCCTTTCGCAGCGTATGAGGACATCATCGTGGTGAGCCTCCAGTACAGAACAAACGGTCCGGGCTCCTCCTCCCTGTCATTACATGCGCTAATGTGACCTCAAGTCTTTGGTTTTCCCTCCTCGCCCGACGTCCCCATTCCGGAACGTAACTTGGGGCTCTATGATCAGCGTTTCGCTTTCGAGTGGATTCAGCAGAACATCGAGGCCTTTGGAGGTGATCCCACCAAGGTCACTATCTGGGGCCAGTCGGCAGGGGCTCTCTCAGTCGACCAGCATCTCAAGGCGTATGCCACCGAACTGCCTCTACCGTTTCGCGCCGCAATCATGTCGAGTGGCCAAACAAGCTTCGGTCTGCTCGCATCACCTCCTCCGAGTGATGGAAAAGAGTGGTCGGCACTTGCTTCCGCCGTTGGCTGTGCGAACTCGACTGGCGGCATGGATTGCATGAAGAAGATTCCGTCTGAGGACCTTGTCGAGGCCATGTCGAAACACAGCATTTCATTCGGGCCTGAACTAGATTATGTCACCGTCTGGGGTAGTCCTGCTGAGCTGTGGAGGAGCGGCCGGGTTACCAGAGTCCCAATACTGACCGGAACAGTGGCTGAAGAGGGAAGGAGCCTTGTGAATGATGAGGTTGACCTCGCGAGCTGGCTTGAAGCAAATCTACCGGATGGTCTGATCAAGGAAGAAGACAGAGAGGTGATAGTGTCAGTCTATCGCTCCACTGGCTTGACAACCGACTTCGATATTGCCTCAGCTATAACCACAGACTTCCTTTGGTTATGTGTACGTTTCCTGGTTTCTCGGATGATACAAAACTGACACTACGATAGCCTCAATCTATTCTGTCATCCACGGCAGCCTCCCACAAGATTCCATCATGGCGCTATTACTTCAACACCTCCATTCTCAACTTCTTCCCTGAGGAGTACGCTTGGCTCGGCAAGTTTCATGGCTCAGAGGCCATCCTTCTTTTCACTGATCCTAGCAACACGATCTATACACCCCAATCCTACGCAGTATATGAGTACCTCAGGGGCGCGATCGGGCGATTTGTCAAGGAACCTAATGCGGGCCCAGGATGGCCAGCCGTTGGTTCGCAATACGCACCTCTAGATCTTGTCGTTTTAGGGGATGTCGGCAACGTTCAAACTGCTGTGACGCCGTTCAATACCACCATCTTGGACGAGAGGTGTGGCTTGTACAAGGATATCTACTCAAAGTTGGAGGCCATGTCTGGCTAAAAGTATGTCCTCCCGATTGATAGGAGTGAGCTGATGTAGGCGTGTTTCGAGACAACACAGTCGGTGACTGACAACGTCAACTATTGTCACGGGAATGTGGGAGAGTTAAGATTCCTTTATACCCTGCAGTATTCTATTCAAAGGGCTATTCAAATCGCTATTCAAATCGAACCGATCATCATTCTCGTACAATTTTGCCGCATTACTCATACAAAAAAGTCCACACGCGCCAATTATTACACTTACTCATCCCATTGCACACGCATTGTCGTGGGGATAGGCCACAGCGAGCTTTGGTCAACAGTCATGAAGGCCCTCAGTCCAAGCCAAGGCTGCTGATGCGCCGCGCTTCCATTCTGGCCCTCCACACGCAGACCGACTTGTCCGTTCCACGGGGAGGCAGGGAAGTTCTTCATCTCGCCCCGTCCGCCGGGCGCGCGGCGCAGGTTTTTGAGGCCGACGATCTGCTTGAACAGACTCGTCTGTCCGACGCGAGACATCTCCTTGCCCGCGCACCAATGCGGGCCCAAGCCGAAGTGGACGTAAGAGTCCAGGGGGCGGTCGAGGCGAACCTCGTTGGGGTCCTCGAAGATGGCGGGGTCACGGCCGGCGGTGGCGAAGTTGCACACCACGCGGTAGCCCTTGGGGATCTTGACCTCGCGCTTGGTGCCCTCGATGTCGGGGTTGGTGATGGGGTCGCGACCGGTCGGGTCGGACTCGGAGGGCAGACAGGGGGAGTAGTCAGTGATGACCTGTGTGGACGTAGCTTCTCTGTAAACCGCGACGGGTCCGCGGAGACGGCAGCCCTCAAGCATGCTATACACTGTTAGCGGTATTCTTGAAAGAATGATTTTGGGATGCAACTTACTACTTCAGCAAGGTCTCGTCCGCCTCCGGTGTGTTCTCGTGCGCCAGGCGGTACAACTCGGGCAGATGCTTCTTGCCCTCCTTGTCGAGGTAGTAGTCGACGCAGAGAGAAGTGACCTGAGACTGGTTCGCGACGTTGGCCGTGATGACGGGCATGATGGTTCCCCAGACAACCTCCTCGACGTCCTTGCCGTCGGAGAGCATGCGCTCAATAAGATGGTTGCCGTACGTGGGAAGAGACGCCTCGCCCTCGCGAATCTTGGCGACGATGTCCGTAAGCAGGCCCGCCTTCTTGATTGTCTGAGCGATAAGCATAACAACCTTGCCGAGATCCTGAGCAAGCTCACGGGCGATTGTGCGAAGCTTGAAGCTGTTTCCAATGTCGGCATCCATGAACACGGCCTGGAAGAGGGCGCCAAGGACCGAGTACAGCTCCTGGTCGGTGTACACGCCCCACGGCGACTCCTCGTTCTTGATCGGCATGCAGAACAGCGCAGCGTTGAAGCGGGTGTTGGTGACGTTAATGACGTCCCGGACCAGGTCAATCTCCCTCTTGTTTCCGGGAATCGGGAAGCTGTTGAGGTTGAGGATCTTGGGCGTCATGTGAGTGTACCACTTCCAAATTTCCGTCTCCCACGGGCCAGAGATCAGAGACTTGCGGACGAGCGTGCGGTTTTTGGCGTGCTCCTTTCCATCGCCAGAGAGGCAGAAGTCCTTGCCGTAGTGGGGCTTGTTGGGCTGGGCGACCAGGTGGTTGATAGCGTCACCGGTGATGACCTTGAAGTCCTGCTGGTTGTAAAGGACCTCGCTGACGGCCTTGTGCGACAGGATAGGGATCAGCGGGGTCTTGGTCTTGGGCTCGTCCCAGGTGTACAGGTAGGCCTTGTCGATGCTCTCGAGGATCTTCTTGTTTTCTGAGGGGATGACGAAGGGAAAGTGGGCGTAGATGCTGTTGTTCTGGAAAGAGTTGGGGAAAGCGCGGAAGACCAGCTTGTAGAGAACGTGGCTCTGGTCGACATTCAGGTCGTAGCTGGCTTGGTTGAATCTGTAACGGTTAGCACCTCTCACTTTCCCGTAGAATATCGAAACTTACCCCCAGTTGGTCAGGTTCTTGGGCGTGTAGTCGATTGTGTAGAAGCGATCGCCGCGAACCAACGCGACCGCATCAGATAAGATGGCCCTAGTCATGGTGAAGTTACCGCAGAGACCACTGCCCGGCGCCATGGGCGGCTTCGCCTTCTCGGCCATCAGGCCGGGGTAAAGCTCGACTGCATCAGGGCTTCCGTACAGGAATCTGAGCTTCGCAGCAACCTCCTTATCGGGGTTGATGTCCTCGAATGTCGGGTGCCTAGTAAGGCCAAAGTGCTCACGGAACTCGTTGAGCGTGGCACAGTTCCAGGAGCGGGATGCCATGATTCCCATCAGCTCAATGGGCCTCATTACCTCGGGAATCCTGTTGGCGCCGTAGGAGCCGGCAACATCGTCGACGGACTCCTTGAAGATCTTGGCCAGATCCGCCTCGTTCAACGTGCCGTCGGCGTTGCGAGGCAGGTCCATGAAGCCTCTTTGCGCGGGGTCGTCAGGGATCTCTTGCTCCCAGTCTCTCATCGCATGGCCGAATTCCATCAGCGACATTTCTGTGGGGTCCTTTCCGAGAACCTTCTTCATAACATCCTTTGTCCACTGCTCATCCTTGGGGGAGATTGTGTTGTGCCACCTGTAGATGAGGTTGAACTCGACAGACACTTGGTTTCCAGTACCCTCAGGGGTCTGCTGGCTGAGAATGCTCTTGCCCTCGTTGGTGCGGGGATCCAAGGCCCAGCTTGATGCAGTGCGGTTCATACCCAGAATAGTGCGGACATAGTCGCGGAGAATGATGCTGACGTAAAGACCGCAAGTGATGAGGCGAGCAGTCTGGAACAAGTCGTTGTCATACTTTGCCGTCTTCTCCGGGTCGTCGCCAGTTGGCTTCTGGAATCGGCCACCCTCGTTGATTCTGCCGATTGTTAGCATTGAACGCAAGTACACAGAACTCGAGAAACTCACGTTGCCAAGTTGGTAGCGACGTAGTTGTGGTAACGGTTAAACATGATCAAAAGAGTACCAACGCCAGGAGGGAATCCCAGAACTCTCTTGGAAGAAAATGTGTCCGGCTTGAGCAGACCGTTCTTCTTCGTCCTCATGAGGTCCTGTTCGGCTTGGTTGCGACCGTACAGAGGAGCGAGGTCCAGGTACGAGGAAGTCTGGTTAATAGGTGAAGTTCCATTCTTCTGTAGCCATGTTGTTAGCACTGCTCTGGTATTCTCGACATTTGAAGATCTTACAGTCTGGAAAATGTCGTGGGTGATGATGGTAGCCAGGTAGAACATGAAGCTGGAGATCTTGTTGGGGTGAGGCTTGAATTCACCACCGCGGGCAAAGAGCATGTCAAAGATCATCTCCGGCTCGGGCTGGTTAGGGTTCTGGTAGCTCTTGGCTGGTGTTGAGCGGGCGTACGGCTGTCCCGCCGCACCCATCTTGGGATCATGAATGGCGTTGCCGGAGCCATCGGCGGCGCGGTATTTGTGGTCCTCTCCAAGCGTCGTCATGGGAGGGTGGTCGATGCCGTTCCATAGCTGGTTGATCAAGCCGTTCTCTAGCCTCTTGCCCTTGACTGAGTTCTGGGGCAGCTTGGCAAAGAGCTGGATGAGGTTCTCGAGCAATAACTCGTTGTCGTTGATCTGGCCCTCGACGGCCGAAGAAAAGAAGTGTACGAGGGTATCAAAGTCATCGAAGCCCAGCTTCTTGACATCTTGGAGCAAGTTGCTAGGCTCACCCTGGTCGGAATTTGGGCTGGGAAGAGGCTCTGGATGAGGAGGCACTGCTGAAATGGCCTTGGTGACAAGCTGGCGGGCTGATGCCAACCTCTCAGCCAGGGGCGGCTGGTTCTTGGGGAACTGCTCAGTATGTGACTGTTGAGACATGTTGTCGATAGATCAGTTCACAGAGGAACAGGTAAGGAGCGATGTCTAAGAACAAGAAGGAGCAGAAATTCTGATCTACTGTTGGGATGGCTGCTTCCTTCATATATAGACAGACAGGAACATAGCCTTTGGACTACAAGTACGGTTGCGGGACAAATCCACCCCAATTTAGGGCGAACATGGGGATACGGGTACCCTCCTCTCCATAGCCACGAGGACGAGGACGAGAACGAGGCGCGGATGAATGGGCCTCGAGGAACAAATGCTACCGAACTAACTGACGTTGAGGATCAGGCTCTGCACGAGGTAGACGGTAGCTTCAGGTTGGCGCTGAGGTCAGATGTTGGAGGTCCACAAAGGTGTCATGGGTGTTGCTAGCTCGATCATTGGAACTACGCCGTACCTAGACGATGATCCATTTGCGAACTAGAGTCCTGCCAGGGAGCCCGGCCTCTAGGGTTCCCGCCATTAGTCTTGTCAAGCTGCGCAAGTGCGTAGTTTCCGAGGCATGTCAATCGCTCGTCGGTCTTGACCGGAAGAAGCAGCCCCAAAAGGCCCCAAGATTGGTGAAGAAAGATGCAGTTGGTAAAACGCAGGCAGCCATTGGACGGGGTGCGACGCGAGGGACCAACGGGCCCCCTGTCTATCGTGCGTGGCCGAGCCAATAATGGACGATATCGCAGCGCATCTCCTGCATCGTGGGGGCTGCTAAGGCGCAGCTGAACGTACCCTGCGTGCCTGTCCGTCTGCCTATTTGCGCCGCTGGGGCCGAAGGAGAAGAGCAATGAGGTCGCAATAGAAGCAGCCGATGTTGATTTGTTTGAAATGTCCCTCATTGCCAGATTTGGAGGGGCAGATAGAACGAAAGCGGGCAACGCACCGCGCATGACACACCTGTTGGGTTAGGATGATTAGGATGCTGCGCTGGGGAGCGAGCGGCTGAAGACAATGAGTTCCTGAGGTCGCTGACGAGATGCAACGAGGGCCAATCGTTGGCGCCTTCTCGTACCTCGCCGGGTTGCCTTAAACCTCACCCTCACTGCGCAAGTCTCCATCTGCGTTCCGTCCATCCCTGTTGGCCGAACTATCTGCACCACCAGAGCGATTCGATGACTCTGTCTCAGATGGGGGGCTTTCGGTGAGTGTCTCTCGCGTGTCCGAGGAACTGTGGGAAAATGAGGACGCATTTGCGCAATATGAGTCGATCTTTCTTTCCCCCGGTTGCTAAACACACATGTGATTGCCGTGTCCGACAGAGGCAGCAAGGCTTGTGACTTCATTCTTGACCGTCGTCGTAACGGATATGGAGATACTCGGTAGCAACTGAAGTCCGCGGTCGAGAGGCTGCTTCTAGGCATACGCCATTCCCAGCAAGGCGTTGTAGGGCATCGTATTCTTCATGATGGCCCCCCAGCGCATGCAAGCCTATGGGGTCTGGTACCGCCCAATTCCGGCATGGTTCGGATTGGCGGACTTCGGGCCGTTGTTGATTTGTGTAGATGGCGTCCGTACCTGGGGCTGGGGGCCTTACCGACTGCAGTGTAATGGAGACGGACCCCAGGTAAATGACAGCCTGATGTGATATTTGTTGTTGCTGTTGGTGGTCGTCGTGGTGGACGTGACCAAAGTCCGATGTTTCTCTCACTTGTCAGTATTGCAGGCTCTGAGTCGGCAGCTCAGCACCGTGCTAGGTAGGGAGGTTTCACTGAGGCCCCCTCTGATGTGATGCGAATTGTAACTCTGCACCAACATGCATGTTACAATCGCGGAAGAGTGGCTCGAGGTTGAAGCCGGCCATGTCTCTCATCATATCAGTCAGCTTCTTGGCCCGTCAGCACTCTGTAAATGCGTCACACACACCTCGCGGGAGAGGCTGTGTGTAGTGGCTGCAGAAGAGAGGACCGCACTCTTTCAGTGGTCTCCTCCTCGTGCAGTGATGATCGGTTCGGGCCCTCTCGCCGGGCCCATCTGACCGGTCGCCTTTCCGTGCCGCTGGGCTGTGCAGCGGGCGTGGCGCCGGGGGGCTTTTCTGCAGAGTGTCATTGCTGACCGTCACTGGCCGCTGTCCGGTTTCGATCGAACGAGCCGAGGGCCTTTCTGACGCGCAAGTGAGGCCCTGCAGGCTGCAGCGACCTCCATTCACCGGATAGGGCCGCTGCCTGCCGTGTCCCCGGCCTCTCGTCTCGCCCCATCTTGCCTCGTCGTCCGCGTCGTCAACTCAGGTCGCCTCAATTGTAATTCGCATCTGCGCAATTTGCCATTGAGATGAGGTGGCATGCCTTGGGAATAATACCAAAACTCATGTTGTTAGTGGGCGGAGCACAGTTCCGTGGCCTTGGATGCGGGGTCCGAGACAAAGTGGTTCACCGCGCTCAGGGTCTTGGGATGGCTTCAATGGGAATGGGGGCCTTGGGGGCTCCGGGGAAAGAAAGAGCAAGTCCTTGCTGATCTCGTAGTTGAGGTCGAGTTCAGCCTCGATTCAGCCTCGGCCACACCTTTGAGTTGTCGAGCAAAGCGCCAGCCAGTCAGCCAGCCTCTACGATGCGATCAGAAGCCGTGTACCCGTCCCCCGAGACACACAGCTGACAGCTCCGTGAAGAGACACAACAACTCGGTGTACCCGGCTTGCATTGCTGACGATGACTAGTAGGTTTGGCGAGGTAAATCGCTGACTAGCATGGCCGGTCTCTTGCATCTCGATTTGCACCGGTGAAGCATGTCAGTGTTACGGCCGCTAGCGAGGGTTCCGGAGTGTAGGGCTGAGAGATGTTGGTTCTCCATCCCCATAGTCCCTGGAGCTTCAGGGAAGCAGTGGTGTGTGCGAGTATGTTAATACAGTATTGTGACTGGCGTCCTCCAACCCCGCGCAGTCAGCTTACTGCGCAAGCGCTGGAGTAACAACCAAGGTTTGTGCGCAGAATCTGTGATCATTGGCCAATTTCATCGCTTGGCGTCGTCTTAGGTGAGGGCGGTGGCACGGCCTGTGGTCTGAAATTGTGTTTGTTCCTGAACTTGCTGAGATATCGAATGAGAAGTGTCACATAGCGGCGGGTGGATAAGGGAAGGTCCGCTCGAGCTCTTTCCTCCAAAGGCGTGTAAATGCAGATGATTGTAGGGAAGAGAAAACATGCCGTGAACGCCACAAACAGTTGGAGCATGCGGGAGGCTGATGTGGCTAACCTGAGTTGACACACGTTCGTTGTGCCTGACCGGTATATCGCAAAAGGCCTAGTCTAGTGTTTTTGCCTGGTTTCAACAGCGAAGTATTAGGTGAGAGATGGGGCTTTCAGTGGATATCGGGCGACAACATGGCAGCTTCTGCACCTCTGAGCGTCTTCAAGCTTAGAAAGAAGGATGAGTACGGATAGAACTAGAGTTGGGATGACGCATGGTTCCCGGATGCTGAAAATAAACACACAGGTGATGCGTCTCGACACTCTCAGGTCCCGGCGGTCGTGCGCCCCAAACGTGAAAATGACGTCGGCAGGCTGATGTGTTTGCCGTTGTAGGCGTCCTCGAACAAGACACGTCTGGTCTGCGTCCCACGGGAGTGCTTCGCCATTGCAGGTGTTTCCGGACTCCTCCAGCAGACAGAGCCGGGCCATGCAGTCTGTTGCAGCTTGCAAGAGTAGTCTAAGACTGTTTGTTTTTGTTTGCTCTCCTGAGATTTGAAGCAAGGGGGGAAATGCGCCCGCAGTGTTTGTTGTCTCTCAAGTGTGTCTTGCGCCAAGCTCTTGCTGTCGGCTTTAAGGCATGGAAAAGGGTTTAAGGGGGTGGATGCCGAGCCGGAATTCGAGACGAGACGCGTGGTCAGTGTCGAACAAAGTTTGCGTGGATAATTAATAATGAAGAGTTTGCAAATACAATTATCCACCATGGAGAAGCCCGACTTTGACTCGGAGCACTGTGAGCTGAGACTGCGGTGCATTCAATATGGCAATTGAGTCCGCCATCACAGTCCGCGCTGTCTTGAGCCGTAGAACCGTTGATAAGTGTCTGCCCCAGGCTTAGTAAGTCTAAGTCCCTTGTGCATTAGTTTTCTTAGGGACTTCAGGCACACAACGGACAAGATCTCTGGGGAGCGCTAAGGAGAGATTGACATTCCTCAAACCGTGCTAGTGAGATCCGCTTGGCGGATGGCGAGATTGGCTTCAGAAGGACGGTGAAGATGGCGATGAGCACGTCAATGATTAATGTCAGAACCGGCTGCCACAGCAGATTGAGTTTGGCAGCGCGTCGCAGAGAAATGATGAATTATCAGACTGGGGCCTGCTCTGTGGACAGACGGTGGCATCCGCAGCTGTGAGTGGAAGACACGCAGAGTGCGAAAATACAGGCGGAATACAGTTTGCAAAGTCGCCGTGACAGGCGCCTCCCTAGCCGGACCCGAGCTTCAGGGTCGCAGTGCTAAGACGCATGGCATGGCTCCCGTTATTTTCCTTTTTAGCTCAACCTGGAACCCCAAACCGAATTCAAGACCCCAAGGACCCTCGTTCTTGGGTCGCTAGGTCGCAGTATGCATCTGGATAGGTGCGTACCTAAGGTATTAGGTTCAGTATTAGCAGGGAAGGAGAGTCCCATGTTGCACCTAACTGGGTACCTCTTGCCTTGCTGTGGCCTGGCTGTGTCTGGGGAAGGAGGAAGGGGGGATTTAAGGGAAAACGGGAAGGAAGGGAGGAGGAAGTTGCCGTCGCTCTTTCCTTATGTTTTGGTCTGAGGCGGGAAAGGAAGGAACAACCCAAGGGCAGCACCTTCTACCTTACGTTTAGGTTGGATTGCAGGGCAGCAAGGGGGGGGCGGCAGGAAGGAAGGAAGGAAGAAAGTAAGGAAGGAGGATGCCAATTTGCATTGATTGATTGTGATTGTTCTTGCTTGCCCCATGATGCAGTTGCATTTGCACTTGCACCTGCTCTCCTGCTCTTGTCGTCCTCGCACTTGCCGTCGCGCATCTCTCGTCTTGTTCGTGTTGCGTCTCATCTGATTCAGCAACTGCAGACAGTCCGTCGCGTATTCGTGTCCTCGACCCGACACCCTTCGTATCGCTGACCTTACCTGACTCTTCTCTACCGTTTGTCCTTCACCTGCATAACTGTGTCTTCACCTGCACACACCTGCTCACCTCGACTCGACATTGTCCACCTACCTACCTACCTTATCTCGCGTCGAATCGAGTCTCGTGCGAACTGGGAGCTGCAAGCCATCGAACGCCTCCTCCTCTTCCCTGCGTCCCCTCCCTTCCCCTCCTCGTTGGGACTTCAATACTTCCGCCACACACAAACCACGACAAACGCCAATCAACCGAACCTTCTCCCGAAGAAGCAACCTGCATCACGCCAACCGCATCTTAGCTTGTCACCCCCTTTCCCGCTCTGAAACTAGCGCCCAAGAGACAATCCGTCAACCAGCAACCACGCGCCGGCTGAATTCACCCTCAAATTGCTCGCCCATCGCTGCGTGCCTCGACAAGTATCCCCAAACTGAAAAAAACCTCTACATTCCCCGACCCGTCTGCGTCCACCCGCTCGTCGCTCCTCGTCCTCCCCTCGGCTGCCTTCGCCCGCCGGATCCCGACGTGCTTCTGTGTTGTTGGCGTTGCTCCCGAGCCGCTCTTCGTCCACAAGCCACGACACTTGCGACACTCGTACTACCGAAACGAAGCGGCGCGAGAACTCTCCTGTCCCTCCTTGACGGCGGTATTCATAGGCGGTGACCAGCCGGAAGAGGATAACAAAAGTCGCAACGCCGCAACCGATCCCACCGCCTACAACGTCTCACGCCGCCATCCTTCGACGGGCATGCAATCGCAATGATTCCCTTGGTTATTCGTTCCATTCGCGGCGCCGTCGCCCGCTACTCGCCAAGCTCCCACTCCTACTCCCTCTTGACCACCTCCAACTCAGAGCCATCATCGCCTGGTGGCTCCAACAGTTCGCCCGCGCAGTCGCAATCCTTCTTGGCTAGGCTAACTGCCATACTCTTCTTCCTCCTGCCGTCCTTCGTCCAGCGCCGACTCCGACCGAACGATTTCAAGCACCGACGCTTATACCCCACCTCATGGCTTGATGGCCTGCGCGGTGTCGCCTCCCTGATTGTCTTCTTCTGTCACTTCACAGAGAAGCATGTGGGCTGGTACTCTCAGTCTTACGGCATCAGGGAAGAGGACGACCATGCCACATCGTCACCCATGCAGCTTCCGTTCCTGCGCGTCCTCTACTGTGGCAGGCCCATGGTCCACATCTTCTTCGTCATCTCCGGCTTCGTCCTCTCCCTCAAGGCCCTGAAACAGGCAAGGAAACATGACTTCGATGGACTACATCGTACACTGTCCAGCAGCGTATTCCGCCGTGGCTTTCGCCTGTTCCTCCCCACGACTGCCTCCACATTCATCATCATGATTATGATCCGATTGGGATGGACAGGAAAGCCGCTTCCCACACTATGGGAGCAGCTGATTGACTGGAAGAATGCGGTCTGGCAGATTACCTTTAGCTGGAAGTGGGACATCACCCAATTCTTGCCCTACGACGTTCATCTCTGGACCATCCCCATCGAATTCTCCAACTCACTGCTGCTCTTTGTGGTTTTGACTGGGCTGAGCCGCATGAAGACGTACTTGCGACTGGCCTCGGTTCTGGCCATCATGGTTTACTCCCTCAAGTGCGGCCACTGGGCAGCCTTCGAGTTCGTCGGCGGCATGGGCATTGCTGAGATCGGTCTCATCCAAGAGGCACGCCGCGAGCGCGCCGCAACCGTTGTGCAAGACAAGGAGGCGTCTGACATGGAAGCATCCGTGTCGTCCGAGTCAACATCAAACACCATCGGATCCCTCGTTTTCAAGTCTTTCCTCCTCGGCAACCTTGTCTTTGCCCTCTTCGTCGCGGGGTGGCCGAATCAGCATGCCGATGTTACACCAGGCATGTCGAGACTCTGGCACAACACCATGGAGCCCTTCTTCGGCATGGGTGGCGATCTCGTCTCCTTCCCCTGGTACGCGCTTGGCGCAATCCAAATCGTCGTCGCTCTGCAGCAGATCAAGATGCTGCAAAACCTCTTCGTGACGCCACTGGCGCAGTATCTCGCCGATATCAGCTATGCACTCTACCTCGTTCATGGACCCGTCTTGGACGTCTTCTCCCACCGCTGGATGCCGTACATTTGGGCTATCGTCGGTGGTAGGGACACTGCGGGCATGTTTGGGCGGCTGTTTGCCTGGCTGGTCGGAATCATTGTCCTCGGAGTTCCCACAATCATTGGCAGCGATCTCTTCTGGAGGACAATCGACGTCAAGAGCGTACAGCTGGCGCGCTGGATCGAGTCCCTTTGCACGAGAGAACAGTAGACGGGCAGTATCGGCGATCGATTGGGCGTTTGGGTTGCATATCGGCGTTTGGGTGGACGTGTCATTGTAGACATTCGTTTTCCCTTTGTACAAACTTATGAGACTCGTAGAGCCAACATAGGCATACCACAATGAGACTTTTTTCTCTGTTCAATTCCACATCTTTGGTGGACGTCGGTCGTTTAGAGCGCATGGTGAATCCCCCACCCGAGACAAGATTCAGGAAGCAAGTGGCACAATTTCGACGGGAAGCGGGAGCAAAACCAAGGAAAGGAAGAAAAACACGCACACACGAAGGGCGACACAGACGGGAGGACGTTGTTTTATGGACGGCAAGACCGGGTCAAGCCGTCTGGGTACGACGGCGCAGCGTGGCACGTCAATTAGTCCAAGTGCGACGAAGCCGCCGGGTCCGAGATGGAGGCTTCATTGGCCATCCCGCCTCCCGCGGTGCCCGGATCCCTGCCAAGACCCAGAATAATACCTGCAAGACGATAGGGGGCCGATGGGCCCTCCTCGGAAACTGATTCTCGACTGCGATGGCCAATAATTGCTCGTTCAAGATCACGTTTTGTTGGTTCCAACATGCCTGTCTTGCTGAGGGGCCCATGGTGTTTAGAGGACCATGCAAGTTATGGGGCGAGCCTCAGCGGTAGGATCCCTCAATTGCGCCCGGATTGTTGGCTGCCAATAATCTTGGCTACGGCACAGGCTGACGCCCAGAAGATTTTCCCACCGTCGAATTACTTATGATTGGGGTCCCCTATGAGTGGTCGCTACTTGGCCGGCCACGCGTACGTCGCACTGGACTGCCACTTGCGCGACGAGCTTCGCAATCATCAAATGTCTCAGCTTCAGCTTGGGTAAGTAGTGCTCGGGACAGTAACGGGAGTGTGGGGGTTCTGAAGACGAGAGCATCAGTACCTATCCCGGCAGCGTCCAGCAATGCCAAGATAAGTGCCGGCGGGCGTCCTCCACTTTACTGGGGCGCCTGTCCCGATGTGTCGACCGCCGGCGTCCGGGAGTCGGCAGGGGAAAGCAGGTTGTGACGTTGCAGTTTAGCGGTTGCTGATAACGAGTGTCAGGGCTTGAAGTGGGAATTCGATGATGGCGGCGCTGAGCCCTCAGGGATTGCTTTTTACTCTACCTACTCAGGTACCATGCCATGCAGACGTCAACTGCGATGTGAGTGGGCGGTGGCAGCCTACCTTCCTTTCAAATGTTGCTTTCTAATATTCAGGCTGCACTGGCCTACATAGGAAATAAATGGCCGGCTGGAAGCCAAACTATCTCCAAAGTCCGGCCAGAGAACACTGCAGTCACTCAGACACTGCTGTAGGAACATGCGCGAGGGGCGGTTTCGACGCTTGAATTAATAATTCAGGCTTCAAAGTCCGACGTGGTAGTGCAGCAGGCGATCGGCGATAGGCGAGCCAACTGCCTGCAAACGTCGTGAATGCCCTTGAATCCTTTGAATCACACCAACGTCCAACGGCGCCTAACGCCGATAGCCTGCGTCGTTCTACTCAACGCTAGTTGACAAGTTGATCCTGCAAGGCATGCGCCATCAACAATATCAAACACAAGGGGATCGAGAGCCTTGCGGATTGCACATTACCTCCGGCTAAAACCGTTCGAGCCGTGATTTCAAAGTCGTTTGCGAGGTCTATGATCTGACAGCATGGCTTGCTTACACATGGCTCGGATTGTCGATTTCTTGTAGATGGCGTTGTTGTAAGCCACTTGATGACGATGAGGCGTATCATCATCATCTTTGTTCATGTTTAAGGATCCTACATTGCAGCCCAAAATTACGATGTGCCACTACAAAGGATATAAAACTTGAATCCACCTCAGATAGATCCATTGATTGCATCACAACAAGCTGGACCTCATATAGCACGCTCCCAAATTCCCAATAACCAACGACGTAATACTACCACACAACATGGCCCCTCAACTCAGCAAGGATACCAACGGCAGCGATCTCGTCACCGCATACGCAGACCATATCAAGGGCAAGACGATTCTCGTGACAGGTGTTTCGCCTGGAGGACTAGGCGCCACCTTCGCAGAAACAGTCGCCGCCGCCTCACCGGCAACACTGATCCTCGCCGGCCGCAACACCACCAAAGTCCAGCAGACAGCAGACGCCATCACCGCAGCAAACCCATCTGTCCGCATCAAGACTCTGGAGCTCGACCTCGGTTTCTTGAAGAATGTCCGCAAAGCAGCCGAGACAGTCAATGCATGGGAAGATGTTCCGCACATCGATGTGTTGGTGAACAATGCGGGCATCATGGCCGTGCCGTTCTCGTTGACAGGGGATGGGTTTGAGAGCCACTTTGGCACGAACCACCTGGGCCCGTTCCTGTTTACGAATTTGATCATGGGAAAGGTGCTGGCTGCTGCGGAGCCGAGAGTTGTGACGGTCAGCAGTGATGGGCACCGGCTGGGTCATATTCGATGGTCGGATTACAACTTCAACGTATGTTCAACGCTGCTTGCTAGACATGTTGTTCCGGGATTGGACTGACTTGACCATCAGAATGGCAAACACTACAATCAGTGGCACGCTTATGGACAGTCCAAGACGGCCAACTGCCTCATGGCCATATCACTTGCCGAAAAGTTGGGTAGCAAGGGCCTCTTGAGCTTCAGTCTCCATCCTGGTGTCATTTTCACCAACCTCGGGACTCATCTAGAGAATTTTGATTCATTGAGTGCGTTTAACCGAATCCCGCGGCTTTGACAGATTGATTTAGCTGACTAGTCGCCGCAGGAGAACAAGATGTCAACGTTGGAAGCAAGCTCATGTGGGCCGAGTTCAAACCCAAGACGCCGGATCAAGGAGTCGCGACGCACATCTACACGGCTTTCAGCCCCGACCTCAAAGGTGAGAAAGATACCAGGACGGAGTCCTGTTTGCATAAGTACCGTAGCTGACGAAGGCATGTAGGGTTGAACGGCAAGTACTTTAATGACTGCCGCCTCGCCGACCAGTACAACGAGGAGGTGCATCCTTGGGCGACGGACAAGATCGACGCAGACAGGCTGTGGAAATTGAGCGAGAAGCTAGTTGGTGAAGAGTTCAAGTATGAGTAGTTCACGCACATGAAGACGAGCTGCCGGAGTAAGCCACAAGAATCACTGAAGATGGGTACCGGCCAACGTCAGTTCTGACCATCACCTATATAAGCCACATTATAATTAAATTTGTTTTTGATTATTTATGAATACTTTGTTCTACATTCTCATGGGGTTTGAGGAACAATGTCGCTTGGCTTCGGGGGGGTAGTGTAGTCCCCTGGGAGTTCATCCACCGGAGGTGCCTTCACAACGTCAGTCTAATTCTTGTCAATAACGAGAAATCGTTGCTTACCTGAAGCTTCTCAGACCACTCTCTAATAGCCTCGTAGTTTTTGCACTTGTGCTTCGTGTGAAAGTCGGGGAATGGGGCAGGCGGGTTGTTCGCCCAGACCTGGCCGAGGACGCCGGTGTCGAAGTTGCACATGAGAACCTGGCGGACGGCATCAAGACAATGTGCTGCCACAGATTAGTAAATCATCTATCAATGTGCATCCTGCAGGGAACTCGAAAACCACTCACAGACATGTAGCTTGACAATGTTGTCGTCGTTCGCAAATGCATGGGTTCCCATCCCCTTGTAGTAGCCATAATTGTAGTAAAGCGCTTTTCGTACCAAGTTCTGCATCAACGATTAGTCTTCGATCCTCATCAGGTTCTGATTTGGGGAGCAGCTCACCAGACAATGGAGGTGATGCATTCCTTCCACGTTGACGAAGAAGCCTGCGCCGTACTTCTCGGATCTCTGAACGAACGACATGTCCATGCCGCTCTTGAGGCCGTCCTCGATCGAAATCACACCGGCACGATCTACTTCTGTCAGCGTCCCGGTCCCTATGAAATAAAAGAATAAAGACTTGCAGTCTACTCCCAAAGCTTCCCACGCGGCGTCAACCTCCGGTGAGCCTTCTTTCCGGTAGACATCCTCCTGCAGAAACGACCCATTAAATTCTTTCCATTCATACTTGACGTCCACATCCTTCAGAAGAGGCGACCATTGTGTAGTATGCTCGGCACAAGCGCCATCGAGATTCGCCTTCCCTGAGGCGAAATGTGCACCGATACGCGCCGAGATGAAGTTGGTCACGATGAGGATGGCTGCTGCTGTAGCGTACATCCAAATCTTTTTCTTTCCGTCCCTGTGTTCCCAGAATCTGGGATTCGATTCGAGGGACTCGAGGTCCTCCTCGGCCTCGTCCACTCGCTCGGCGAGCGGTCTCGTGTAGGATTCGGACTCCTTTGACTGCATCATCGTCGATGAAGGGACTCGATGTTGCGATATCGAGATGTTCGAAGATCACCAGAGGTTAAATCAAGGATGAAAAAGAAAAGATTTCCGCGACATGGCCTGATGTTTTCTTTGAGCTTCACGAACGAGGGAGGGGCGGGTAAGAGAAACGCAGAGAGAAGCGCGATCGAGGAAAGGGAGAGGGCACCACAACGACCAAAATTGTCTGACCTCTGGAATGCCCACCCGCCGAGTCTCGGGGCACGAGAAGGGCTCTCTATGGAGTAGTCAGAAATGGTACCACATACTACGAGGCGTTGCAAATCATCGCCCCGATTCCCACGCGCAAGTCCGCATTCAGCTGGAATGCCCAACGACCGAAATTCACCGTCGCCCACCCACAGCTGCCGCCACCATCAGAACACGAAGCTCGCGGCAGGAATGTCGCCCGGTGGTGGTGTTGTCTGCAGCTGATTGAGACAGCGCATGCGGCTGATGGGCGGGAAAGGTGTTGGGCAAATCCCATGTGTCCGCGGAGACAGCAGTGACTGCGCGGCACAGCCAGTGCTTGTCTGCGGTCTCTGGCTCCGCGAAGGATTACAGAAGTGGCAGATCATCCTGCTAGCTGGGGAAAGTGACAAGCTTGACCAGGTTGACGGCTGCGGGCACCAATCGCAAAGGTTCCTGGGTGTCTTCCAACACGAAGGGAGGGCGCCTTGTAAGCTTGCGTGATATCGAGATTGACGGTCTGGGGTTGCGAGATCTCGTATCTGTGCGATGCTGATCGATTGAAACATCTCGGCCGGGAACTTTTGCTCCTCGTGTTGAAGATTGAATGTGTTGCAGTCGCTGGTGGTCGTGGCCGTTTGGACTCATGTCTCTCCTCCCTTGTTATGACGCTGATGAAGCTTATGGGAGACTGGTATCCATCGCAGGTTCATCCCGACTCGTGGCTGACATCTAGAACACAGAATCCCATCTTACCCAAGCCCGTAATACTCTGCTCATCCTAGCAACCAAAGAGGAACTGCCACAGAAGCATCTGAAGGACTCAGCCTCCATGCCACTTTGACAAGTGCTGCATGCCCAGGATCCCCAAAGTACAGCAGGCTGATGCCGGCGTATCAGCATTCGCATCCTTCATGTGTAGCTTCTGTTGCAACGAACCCGCTAAGATGACGCCAAATGCCAACTTAGGTATTCGGAGTTTACTAGGATTAGGCTTAGCCAGAGGCGCCCGAAATAACCTCTGTAAAAAGACTCTACCGCCTCCGCCTCTGTCTCCGTGCTGCCGCTTCCAAGCGACCTCCAATCCGGGCAATCCGGAAATCTCATGCCCAAGATGAGCACGAGGCACCCTCGCCAAGATGTTTCGACTGATAGACGGCTGACTGACACTGACTTCGGATCCCTGGCGGAAGGAGACTTGAAGAAAATTGCCGATCACCAGGAGGTGCTTCGATGGTAACGGTGTTGAATACAGAGACATGCCGAGCTGTTGCTGTTTCTCACGGCAGACATCTCTGCTGTCAAACATGCAGCTGTCCCAGCTTGCCAGCTCTGCCAGGTTCAAGCTTCAGCGATCTTTCCGCTGCAAAAAAGCAAAAGTTGCAGGGGTCTTTGGGCTCGGGATGGACGCTAACTCTAACGCCATGTTCCCGCAGCCAATTCCGCGTTAGTAGGGCTGATCCCCCATCCCGGGATTGGCCCGGAGAAGCTCCCGTTTGAGTAACCTCCCCTCCTCAAGGTCATATTGCTTTTACACGAGTTGAGACTACTCCATGATTAGCATCCATGCTTGATCAAGTCCCACGACAGTTGCCATGTGTACACGCACGTTAAAGGCTCAGCCCGGTAGCCACAGGGACGGTACCATCTGTCCTACCTTGGGCAACACCGGGTGTCAGTCACCGGTACCTCGTGGCTTCGCGCAAACCGAATTTCGCGGCCAAATTTGCTTCTCCAAAGTAGCCTGTGGCCGGGCAGCAAGACACTCGATATAGCATCCCGTCTCAAGATTTGACACTTTCATCTTGATCCCACGTCCGTGGAGGGAGGATTCGTACCGAGACTGCTTCGCCCTGGCTGACGTCTCCTGTTGCATGTAATCTTTCGGGCCTTTCACGTCTGCAGCTCTGACACCATCGTATCGAAAAAACACGGTGTCGATCCCCTGGTCAATTCAACGTCTCTTTCCAGCGGTGTGTTGGTGTTGAATGACACCTCGTCTACATGGCTGAATTATTCCCAGACACCGTGAAGCTCTCAATGCCCTTTCGGGATGCATTCGGCCCAATTTATGACGCCCATGTGAAGCCCAGTCAGCCGCTCATGTTCATCGTCTTGCATGTCTCCATTCGTCAAACACCGCATTCAGCAAGTATCTCTCTATACCCCTCGTCTGCTGAGATACGCCTCTCGTGGCATCCCTTGTCGCCGTTCTGCTTTAGCTTGGAGACCCTGGAACGGTGGAATATTTGCCAGGTTGGGGTTGGCCTCTCAGCGGAATTCCTTGCCATCGTTGGATAGATTGCTGAATCCGTGTGTGATCTCCATTCAAGCTCACTTGCAAAGAACTTACTGGGCCAACGACATACCCTCCGAGCCTGCTCTGCCTTTTCAGATTTTCCATAAGTAGCCCTCTGTCCGCCCTCCCATTAACCTTACTCTCACCATCAGCATCACCATCCTCCATCTTCATCAAAGAACCAGTCGTCAAGGTCACCCAGACAAGCTCAATCTACTCTATCCAACTTCCTTTCTCCAAATCATCAAAATGAAGGTCACCGCCATCCTCATGCTCACTGCCGCCTCGGCCGTCCTCGCCGCACCGGCCTCCGCTCCCGCGGATCCTACTCCCGTCCCTGCTGCCGTTGATGCCTACGCCGACTACGGAAAGTACACCTACGAGAAGTACGCAAGCTACGGCGACTACGGCAACGCGCCTCCTCCCCCTCCCCAACCTACCAACTACGGAATCTATGCCGGCTATGGTACCTACAAGCGCGCCTTGGACTGGATCAAGTCCAAATTGGAATAAGCTTGAGGATTAGCGGATGGATGATTCCCTGCTTCTTGAGTTTGCCAACGTCGTCGACACAACATCGAGCAAGGAGTTAGATTGCGATGGAATTTTCACTTTGACGACTATCCTTAACCTACCCCAGCCATATCGTGAGAACTATCGAGACTCGAGCGTTTGGGGTGGCTGATATAATCATAATATGGCTTGCATCTGGCGATTTTAAATACAGCAATTGAGACAAACTCACATCCCATGTGATTACTGCACAAGTTAATATCTTCAGAGTTGTCATTAGTTGTCCCGATGACTTGTCCAGACATGTCGAGCTCGTCTAGCTGCTTCCAGCGTGTGTGCCATCGATGATCACACCCCATATGGCACTCTCTAGACTGCAATACAACCAGAAGATTGTGATCGAAGCACTACGAATGATGTTTGCCATATTGTTCGAGAGCCGTCATTAGAGAGCCGTCTTGGAATATTGAATTTGGCAGTACCTTTAACGATGTTCTACTAATTCAACACCAAATGAACGCTGCATCCATGCAAGACTGGATATACCGTCACTCATGTTGTTCCCTCCTCGACCTTTTGTCTGATATTCTGATTCTCCAAGCTTTCCCCCAACGCACGACCGCCCAAACACCTACGGCCCCGCCGAACAGAAATGCAGCCGATACAGTATTGAACCAACCTACACCAATGCCCCTGATGGCTGGTAAAACGAGAGCTGACGCAGCCGCACCCAGGAAGTAACGGGCCATAAAGTTTCCCGCAACAACCTCTGCGGCTCTATCGCTATTCACATCCAAGCAGTACGCATTGAGACTGGGATAGCAGAAGAACTGACCTACGCCGCTCAGGACCATGGCTACAATGGGGACCGCAGCACCGCCGACGCGTTGATCTATGGTCCAACCATAAACCAACATGCAGGCAGGTAAGGCCACGCCCAAGAATGGTAGGCAGGAGCGCAATCGATCTTCCGGTATTCTGGTACCGTTACGGCGTCTTATCCAGCGCTGAACAGTTTTATCAGCCCACCGTCCCCCAAGTTGCGCGCCCAACAGACATCCAACGCCTGGGGCAAGATAGAAAAGCCCTGATTGGGTCGGTGATGTCAGGGAGAATCGGGGATTAAGAACGTAACGGATGGGCGTGAGCAATCCGTACATGTTCCAAATCAACGTCCCGCTACTAACCGCAGCAAGCATAAGATTGGGGTATCGGATCAGGAGCCAAACCACTCGTAGAGGGTTCACATGCTCTAGTATCTTCGCAGTGCGTTGACGGCAAGGAAGACTCTTGAACTGATCAATCTTGAGCACCAGAAGCGTCTCAGGCAAGCTGAGGGATGCAGCTAGCAAAGCAGCGCCGGCCAGCGCTGTCTGCAGCCAGAAGATGACTTGCCAGCTGCGGAATGTGATTATCACACCTCCAATCATGGGACCAACGGACGGACCAAAGACAGTGCCTGTCATGAACCAGCTCAGTGCCGCTCCTCGAGCTGTCGGGTGATAGATATCGCCAATCACTGCTGGGCCGGTAACCATAAAGGAGGTTCCGAAAAAGGCCGTAAACATGCGGAAGATGAAAAAGGCAGAAAGTTTGGGGGCGAGGGCGGTGCCGATTGAACAAGCCATTGTAAAGACAAGAGTCAACAGACAAATCTGGATAAGGTAAGCGAAACAGGTTCAGTTGGCTTTGATGCTTTCATCCAGAAAGACGTAGATAAACCGGGATGTATTACCTTACGTCGACCATATACTTGACTCAATGGGCCCCAGAAACAGGGGCTCAATCCCATGAATACTAAGTATAGCGCGTTGGATAACGCTATCACATCTCCGTTGGTGTTATACGTCCTTGCTACCTCTGGTATGGCTGACAAGATTGTTGTGCTCGAGACTTGAGTGATCAGGCCGCAAAAAGAAACGACGGCAACGATGATCACCTTGTGTCGAGTCGAGAAACGGGCATAAACTTCATACGGTGCTTGCTCATGGAGATCGGGATCTCTGTCTTCACCGTCGTCAATATCGAGTTGATGCGGAGCCGACGTCTTTGAGGTCCCAGGCTGAGGGTGGATATTGGCATCTGCGGCGTTCTCAGCTACCTCGTTGCTGAATCTTGCTTGATTGTCCTCGTTTCCGTTTTTGGTGCGAGAATCGTCGACATCCCTCATAACTGATCTGCCGTCGCCGCCCGTTTCCAAATCTCGGTACGATTCTGGCATTGCGGAATGGCCTGCCATAGCATTTAGCTTTGATTCGATGGGCTCAAACGTGAGTGGTCAAATTTGAGATTTCTTCTTTCTTCCTCGGCGTGGAGGTTTTGTTACTTGTCTCCCCTCGTTCTGAAACCGGATTTTGAGAAGTATGGAAGAAGATAATTGGAGTCATTTTGCTCTTAGAAGAGGCTCAAATGCATGGAGCAGGCACGGAGTAGTCCGCTTCACCAGTTGGATGACGTGATTGGAGAAGACGATCATCGGCTTTGTTCGGCATCGGCTTTATGCCGTAGTCAAGGTTGCCGGTGAAACTTTTGACACTCTGATTGGCATCCAGTAACAACATTGTTTTGCTATTTGATTTCGCCATGCTTCTTAGTAGCTGGGAAAAGATATCTAACAAGTTTTGTTTGGTGCAATGAGGTGCAATGAGGAGACGAGAGCCTCACAGCCAAAGTGCCACCAAATCTAATAAACCATGCTTATCGATTGATCAAATGACCACCGATTCGTTCGCGGCTGGTCCTCTTAATCTGCATTCGTTTGCCATTCAAACTGGGGTAAAGCAAGCAGCCTCAAGCCCTCCAAAGCACAGGTCCATCCGTACGGCATTGAATCCAGTGCAGCGGCAAAACCCAAAGACAAGCTAGCCACGTGTCAATCTCAATGGGCGCACTCACAGACGTGACATTCATCGCTCCCTCAAACAATGCATTCAATCGCAATGTCCCTAGCCGAAAGGCACCAAACCGGTTTGCCGTAGCTTCGTCCGCTGCCGGTCGGTCTGCAAGGGAGCATCGAAGCCCGCGTGGAAACCTGCATCCGACGAAATTTATTTGACCCCGCTTGAGCTGCAAGCACTTCCGCTCATGTCTCGCACGTTGCCACTCTATGAGAAAATTCGCGAGGCTGGTAGGAATCCCTGCTGGTTTCGCCTGAAAGAGGGAAAAATTGAGTCTTTCCCCAACCTCCTCAATTTTTGCCTATTGATAGTTTATCGGCCGAGATGTCGTCTGAAACGCCCGGCGTCCATGCACGCTGCGGCGTGCCCGCTAGCACCGGGTGGCTCCACACCCTTCTCCGATGGCTCGGCGGGGGACGATGATCATCGGGTTCAGCGGGCAGTAGTGAAGACGATGGAAGGAAGTGAAAAAGAAAGGGATTGTCTATTATTGGGTATGTATTACATGAGCCAACCTCCTGGATCGTTTGCCAGCGGTAGAAGGAGCCGGCTAGCATGAACCAGATGTCTCAACCTGGATCAGGAGATTGCGCCAACCTTTGCTTCCTATGCCGATGACGACGGGATCGAAGATTGATTTCTTACACCAGGACAAAGAATTGCATGTGTGGAGGAGGTGAATGCTCGAGGGCCATTGTTATGCAGCCCTTAGTTATAAGAGTGAAGGCTTCAGTGAGACAGAGCCTCTATCCGCGCGGATATCCAACGGATGATGTATGGTTGGTTTCCTCTTACCGTTGGCCGGCGCGGGCGCCCGAAAAGATCTCAGCAACTGATGAACACATTTTGCTTTTGGTGGGCCGTTATTCGATCCTTGCAGATGGAACGCTGACTTGCAGCAGTCGAAACACGCAACTCAGCCGTTCGAAGACCGTCTCGCCAGGTGAAGCGTCGAAGACCAGCCTCCAGGCTAGACTGGGCTGTGTAAGTCGTACTGAGCTACTGCATCACGTAGATGATTTGCATCATGATGAAGGAGAAGCGTCAGAGCCTCACATGAGAATCCTGTCTTGTGGTCTGCGTCAGGGCGGGCTGCCCTTATGCAGAAGAGATTGTGTGTGTGTGATGTGTGAGATGATGGGTTTGGCGACGTGGCGCGAGTCGCCGTCCATGACTATGCATGCATGAACTGTGTTAGCGAGGGTAACAGTCGACTGGCTGCATGCCCAATGGAACGATCAGGGCAGTTCAGGTGTGTTGGAGTCTGAAATGAGATTGGCAGTGCATTCTGCATCCGAGCCGTTGGCTTTACTGGAATGACCTGCGCTGGTGGTGTCCGTTTCGCATCAGGATATGTGCGGCACGACTGGCAGCGCTGGCTGGACCCAAGTTGATGGGCCTTGCATACCAGGTAGATAAAGATTCGGTCTGGGCTGAGTGATATCATAAGCTAGGCAAGACAGTCTGGCGGCTCAAAATATCTGCAGTAGTACAATAAGACCAAAGTACCCAGGCATTGTGGCATTGATGCTCAATAGTCATATCCCACCACATTCATGGTTGGCGTGTGGCGATTGTGGCCGCGGCAAACGGCCAACAATGAGCGGATGGGGGCAAGGGGCGAATGGCAACGCTCGTAGACGGCCGTGACCTACAAGATCGTCCGGCGAAAGCGAGAGATGGACCAAGGCTGGCGTCATCTCGAGGAGACAGAGAGCCAATGATGGGGTTACGCATGACGGGAGGTGAGTAGTAATGGTTGAGATTCTCAACTTTGTGGACGGCGCGGAGGCCCGCGATCCAACAGACCCGGACCGCGGGAGGCGAGAGGCCATGGACCGGTTGGCCATCCGTGGTGGGAGGCCGCGATGACAGACCTGGCGTGCCGTGGTTGTGGTATCACTGAGAGGTAATCAAGTAGGACGAAGTGCTATAATCAAGCGATGGACCGGAGCTTCCAATGGGGAAGGCAAAGCAGGGCATGTCATGTCATGTCAAGTCAAGTCAAGTCACTTGGCCTTGAATGCCTCGAGCGGGGAAGTGGAGGGCGAAGTACAGATACGAGGAGGGATTCAAGGGCAGCTCATCTCCCCTGCATCTTGACGGGCCGGGCTGTCTTGGACGGACAAGTGAGGGCGGCTAAGCCAACTGGCGGAGTCCAGCTGGCGTGGTGCTGAGGTGTGGCCATTGGATGAATGGAATGAGGGGTGAGTTAGACGTCCTGATGAGGTTGGAGAGACCAGAGCGAGCGGTGACCGTCATGATTCTGAATGGTTGTGGTTTGGAGGGAATTCCCTGGATGTTCGGTACGGGAATCTCTCTTGATGCGTAAGTAGGAAGTGGAAAGACGCATCCATGGATGATTGCTGCCAGTCAGAGGTATGGGTAGCTTGGAGCTTGGACCGGTGCATAAAGTTGAGGCGTGGTACGTATGTTCGCAGATTGGCATCTGAACTCCTTACGAAGGCAGACGGGAGTACAAATACAGATACAGATACAGATCCAGGATGGGCGGCAGTGGTTGCAGATGTGGGCGAATGTCATTTCGCGTCAGGTCGCGATTGCCGATGGAGACGTGGATGGACGGATGCGAGGGGGGAAGGTGGACTTTATCAACGCGTATCCCGACGTCTTTCCGTCTTTTGTCGAGTGTCGAATGTCGGCTCTGCCTCCTCCCTTGGCTGAAGATTAAAGAGACCGGGAGGGAAGCTGAGGGGAAGAGCGCTGAATGATCTGCGCTTGCCCGAAATGGGAACACGACGTGATTTTTGGCGACACGATTCGACGGCCGTGTCGCAGGTGCCCACTTAAACCACGACGCGTTTGATTGGGCGTCTGACGGCTGCACCACGACGCTGCAGTAGCACCGCCCTCGCGCCTGCCAATGAGAAGCGGCAAGTGCCCGTCGCATGAAGTTCGTTTTGCAGCGGTTCCACTTGACTTGGAAGGAACCTAAGTGAAGGAAGGAACCACTCACCTCAACTGGCAGTGACACTCACCACTGTCGAGTGGGAAGGAAGCAACCTGCCTCTGCCTCTGTCTCTGTCTGTCTCTCTCCTCCTCTCTTTCCCTCTGGGTGTCATGTCTCTCACCTGCGTCCTCTCCTGGACCTGATTGGCACTCATCACGAAAGTCACACGTTTTCACCACGTCCTCCAGTCCTGCCTTGGTCCTGCCTTGGTCTTTACCCAATTTCGTAGCTGCAGCCAGCCTGCATCCCAATGAAGCCAGGGCAGTCCATATTTCTTAGGGTGCCGTCTGAGGCCTGAGCGAGCCCTGCCAGTGATTGTCCCCTCCCTTGCTTCCCTACGAATGCCTACCCACCTTAGCTGGCCCCCCTGGTCTGGTCCACGTCTCCACCGAAAGCCGCCGATGGTGTTTTGGCGTGTCCGTCTTTTTTAGAGCAAGGTACCCGTCATCCCGTCTCTTAAACGGCCACCGCGTTTGTACTCTTCTCCTCCCACTGACAAGGCGACTACTCAGACACGCTTGCTTCCCACACCTCACACCTCACACCACACACACCACAAACGCACACCGTCGTCTTTCTTTCGTCGTTGCCCTCGGCGGTACAGACAGTAGCTTCTCCAAGCACGTACACCCAGGGCCTCGCATTAATCGACCAACACCGCCTGTTACCCATCCAAGACGATCCCCCTCAATCACTGGCCGACTCAGACCCGACCCGACCTGACCTTACCTTACCTTACACGCCCGCCCATCGATTCCCTGGCCCCGTGCGCGCGCGAAAAGAGAACGACATCCCGCCAAAGAGAGAGAGAGAGAGAGAGAGACAGAGAGACGCTGATCCCTGCTCCCTACCGATTCTCGCGGCCTCTCACACTCTTCTCTCCCTCTATCCCCCCCTTCCCACCCCACGCCAGCTCCTCCTCAAACTCCGTTTCTGTCACTCTTCCGCTCTCTCATCCACTTCCTGCAAGAAGCTCCAAAACACACCTCGATTCCTCTGCGTGGACGAGAACAACAAATAAACAAATACGCTCCTTACCCCATCACGCCCACCGCCGCCCTCCAATCCTATAGCCCCAACCAACGTCTGTCTGGCACCGACTTGCTTCACTGGGGAGAGACTGGTGTATCGACGGGACACCGCTTCAACCTGCCAGTCCCCCCCGCCTTACACCCCCGTGGTCCCCGTTCCCCACGAATCGAGTCTCGTCCGTCGATCAGGAGAGGAGTCTCTGTACTGTAGTCGGGCATCGACTCAATCTTGCCGACGCACAACAACACCACCGCACAACACCGCACCGCTGCGCACTTGCGCTCACATCCACTCGTCGCGCCCAAAGGACAACACCGCTGACGATCCACACGATGGCTACCATCTCCCGCCAACCCTTCGCGCCCCTCGATGGAGCAAGACTGCAGAACCTGACGAGCATCAAAAATAGACAGAATGGTATGTTTGATCACATCACGACCAAACACATCATTCCCCTTCCTCTCCATCCACCAGTGTCATGTCATCCCATGTCCTGCAAATGCAAACCCAAATCTTGTCGCCCAATGTGGCCTTGTGAGATGATCCGTCATACCACCTGAAAGGATGCGCCCAACTTGCCAGCTTAAGCAACAACCCCCAAAAACACACGAAATCAAAAAACTTCGCTCAGGAAAGGAACCCCAACTAACGCTGCGTTTTTAGCCATTTCTCCTGCTTCCGGCGCCAAGCGCAAGGCCTCCGACGTAGAAACCGACGACTTCGAAAATGTCGATCCATCCGTGTTTTCTAAGCGATCCAAGGGCCTCGACAGCTTCTTCCCCTCCAAGGACTCCCTCAAGCCGTCTTCCTTTATCCTGAAAAAGGCCGCGCCTCTGGCCGAAAGCCCCGCGTTGACCAGCTCGAAGCCGACTCTCCCCCGCCCTCGCAGTCTGCTGCAGCCCAAGTCGCCCGCTGCCAGAATCAACGCCGGCATTGTCAAGTCGTCCCCGCTCTCCGCGCCCGCCGGCCGCTCGCCGACCCGTGGCAAGCGCTCTGGCCTCCTCTCCAGCCGCCGCCGGACTGCCGGCCCCTACACCCGTGTAGACCCGCCCATGTTCAACCTGTCGTCTACGTCTTCTGGTGCTGCTCCTTTCAGTCTTGATGCCGCCCTCAAGGGCACCATCCCTAGCTATGCCGCCCGTTCGTCTGTCGCCTCGTCTTCGCGCAGCGCGCCCAAAGAGCTGCTTGAGCCCGAGATGAAGTCTTCATGGTTCTTTGACATTCACGAGGACACTCCCGAGCAGGAGATGACCAACATGCTTCAGCACGGTACCTGCGTCCTCGACATTAGCTCCGATGAGGAGAGCGAGCGCAAGCTCAGCCTGGATCGCGCCGAAGGTCGTGATAAGGAGAATGTGCCGCCATCAGATGATGTCAGCCAAACCTCGGCCAGACGCTCCGCCCGCCGCGCAAGCGAGGACGAAATGATCTTTGAAAAGGAGAGGACAGCACTGGGCGAGATGGACGCCAGCGAGTTCTACGCTCTCGGCTGCGACGAGTCATCGGTCATTATCATCCCAGCTGATGAGGACGAAGAGGAGGAGCCTGCTGCTTCCGCCCCAGTTCCCGAGGTGCACGACTGCCCGCCTGAAGTCCAGGCCGAGTCGGACGAGCCCGTCGTTGAGTCCAGAGATGTCGATGACCTGATGGGCAAGTCTACTGAGCCAGCAGCCAATGCAGCTGTTCTTGAGCCTATAGAAGGCACCGGGGAGAGTTTTGAGCTCTGGGAGAGCGGGAGCGCAAAAGATGACGCGGAAGTAGTTGCTGCTACTTCGGAGTGCTGATGTTTCCTCGCGGTTCGAATTGGGTCGATTGGCTTTCCTCTGCTTCGCTTCCAACTATTCACCATCCTTTTAATTACGGGACCATGATTCATGCGGTGTTGGTTAGGTTATTGTTTTTCAAGGGTACTCGGATGGGACTGGACGGCCGACAAGCGATAGGGACCCGGGACACTTTTGGTGTAGGATTTACGGGTGTACAAAGGTGGAATCGGAGTACTGTCGTCTTTTCGCTGTTTGCATTATTGATATCCCCATCAATAGAGTGCGTTAGCGTTTGAACTGTCTTGCAGCTATGTCGGTGATGTCTAGGAGTAATTGCACCGCAACGTGACGAGGCGCAGGCGTGATGCGATTCAGTATATAAGACACCCCTGGGTATGCGATCAGAATCCAAAGATTGCGATGCTCCGGCGCATCGCAAGGTCCATCCAAACCGCACGCCCAAAGACGTCGGCCGTCGCGCTCCACGTGACGCGACTTGCGCGGCCCGATGGCTTCAACGCGCTGAGGCGGCAGGTAACCCGGGCGGGGCCTCCACTGCTCTTGCCGCCGATCCAACACCACTAAGGTAAGGTAGCATTGACAGCTACAGTGGGTTGGCGCTGTGGCACCGTCTGAAGGTACCGCACCACTCAACGACAGCTGCGAACTTCACAACGTCAAAATCCACAGCATTAAGGTGGTCCGTTTGCAACGTCCAATATCCCTCACAGTTCAGGACTAGAAAACAGAAAACCCAATCACCTGTCGACCTTCTTGTCTTTACCCGCCGGACCAATGGCTTCCATCAACGACCTGGCCACGGCGGCCATAGCCTCGTCCACCGCAACGGGAGCTCCTGCGGAGGACGGCGGAGCCCCTCCCGCCGGCGTCACCCGTGGCGCCTTCATTGTGTTCGAGGGTCTCGACCGCAGTGGTAAGACGACACAAGTAAAGCTTCTCGAGCAGAGATTGGTCGAGCTGGGAAGGAAGACGAAGGCCATGCGCTTCCCTGGTGAGTCTTGGCTGTCTGGGCCCTTTGGGTTGGGGTTGGGCTGATGGGATTGAGGCAACAGACAGGACATCTCCTACCGGGAACATGATTGATCAGTATCTCAAGAGCAATTTGGAGATGGAGGACCACGTTATTCACTTGCTATTCAGCGCTAACAGGTGGGAGGCTGTGTAAGTCTCGTACCCGTCATCAAACTTGTACAGGAGGATTTCTTGCTGATATCAACCAGAGAAAACATCAAATCTCTCCTCGCATCAGGAACGACAGTCCTCTGCGATAGATACTACCTCTCGGGCATCGTCTACAGCGCCGCCAAGCAGAATCCCTCGCTCAACCTGCATTGGGCCCGCGCGCCGGAGCTGGGCCTGCCGAGGCCCGACCTTACCCTATTCCTGGACCTCGATGAGTCGGTCGCCAAGGAGCGTGGGGGCTGGGGAGGCGAGGTGTATGAGAAGGCTGAGTTCCAGCGCCGGGTGCGTGAGCTGTTCTGGGGTCTTCATCGTGGTCGGATTGGGCCTGATGGCACGTTGGGAGAGGAGGACCGCGAGGATGCCGATTTCCGCCAGGAGAAGGAGGACCTGGTTGTCGTTGATGCCGGTGCTAGTGTCGAGGAGGTCGCGGAGGAAATCTGGACAAAGGTCGGCCCTAGGCTCGAAGCGGTTGAGAAGGGTGAGTTTGGCGATACCCCGAGAACGGTGTCATAATGAGGTGAGGGCGCGAGGAAGTCTCTGGTGATGATACAAGAGTGCGATCAAGCATTCAATATCACGGAGAGGATGAATATCATAAAGCAGAACAGGGCAATGCGCCTCTAATACAGGGCAGTTCAACGAGACCACTCTGCCATGCACTACACGGGTGGGAACACTTCCCGCCTGGGAAGCACAGTGGTCTTGGCTGAGAACGCCGCAGAGGTATCTCCACGAGGCAGAATTACTTGAAAGTGAGAGATAACACATCACTGGTCCTCGACAACGGAGGTGAGAGCACCAAAACGAAGATGCCCCGCAGTAAGCCCTACTTAGTACGGCTCGCTAGGATTTCCTCCAACAGATCACCAAGCGGGGCTCAGCCCCGTTACTCCCCTTGGTGTAGTTGGTTTATCACGTTCGACTGTAATGGTTCCATTGTCATCGAAAGGTCTCTAGTTCGATTCTGGAAGGGGAGAACCATCCTTTTTGACTTTTGTCGAGCTTTCCTTGCCGATGCCGGCTGTCTCCTTTTTATTGCTTCAGCAGACTGATGAGAGAAGCTGGACTGCCTTATTACTCGTCCATCTGCACTACTCATGAAGAAGCCCCTCAATTAGAAAAGTCACCAAACGCATTTGCAATGGATGTCCCAGCTGCCGCTAACGCCCTGGGCACACTGGGCGCAGTAAGAATTTCACAACCACCAAAACATGAAGCCAAACTTACACATCGCAGGTCTGCTGGTCAATCCAGGTCCGTTGCATCTCTTATCTCCACCCACCATCGCCCGTCTGACTAGTAACCAGCTCATCCCGCAAATCATCATCAACTACCGTCGCCACAATGCGACCGGCCTGCAACCCTCCATGATGATGCTCTGGGCCTGGGCCGGTGTGCCGTTGGGTGTCTACAACATTGTCGAGGACTTCAACATCGCCCTTCGCATCCAGCCCCAGATTCTGACGTTCCTAAGTCTGGCAACCTGGATCCAGTGCTGCTACTACGAACGGGTAGGCATTCCGAATCCCGCGCTCTTCGTCTCGGACAGCTGACATGACCAGAACTGGTCCGTCCTCCGTTCCCTCGCGGTCGTGACTCCCATCGCGGCCGTCATGGCCGGGATCCAGGCAGCTCTCGTCTTCGCTCTGCGCATCCCCAAGTCCCGCGGCACCGAGTGGCCGATGATCGTCATGGCCGTGCTCTCCGCGGCCCTCCTCGCCGCCGGCGTGCTGCGGCATTATTGGGACATCTACGTCCACCGCACCGTCCGCGGCATCTCGTTCATCTTCGTCGCGATCGACGCCGCTGGAGACGTCTTCTCGCTTGCGTCAATCTTCTTCCAGCCTTCCGTTGACATACTCGGTGTCATTATCTACGCCACCGAATTCGTACTCTGGTGCGGCGTGTTCGCCTGCGGTGGATACTACAACTTTTTGCCGTGGTTCCGGAAGAAAATGCTTGCGAAGGAGGATGCCGGACGTCCCAGTCCCGCGGAAGTGAACTCAAACCATGCAGACGACGTTTCGGCAGGCAATGGAATTGCACTGCACGATATGCCCTCTTCAACATCCGTCTTTCGCACCGCTTCTGGCGAGGAGCCTGGCCTTCGCTCCAGGGCTATCACGTCTCGCGCCAGTCAAACTGATAACACAGACTGAGAATCGGCTCTGTTGAGGAGTCAAGATGAATTCAGTCCAACGAAGCAAGCTCCGCATTGTCTACCTGAACTCGTATGATACAGCGCATCGCCATTCTTCCAGCATGCCGACACACATAAAGAAGGTCCGCCATAGACAAATTTGAAAGTTTTCTTCTCCAAGTACCACCTTGTGCCTCGTTCCTGGAAGAAAAAAAAAAGGAAAATGAAATGAAACTCCTCCCAAACGCTTTCCTCCATTCTGCTTGTTGTTACGATCTAAATCTCTGCGTACGCGCTTACAGCAACAGGGTAGCGAATGCCGCCGCAGCGATGGCACCGATGCTAATGGAAACAGCGCTGGCGCCGGCCTTCGCAGGAGAAGATGTCTTGGGGCCGTTCATTGTGCCGTTGCTGGGCATGCCACCACCCATGCCGTTGGCGTTGTTGCACTTGCCAGGGGAGAAGTTGTCCTTGGAGTCGCTCAGAGACTTGGCGAAAGAACCGGCCAGCTGGCTGGCGACGGACTGAACGCTCTGCGGCACCTTCTTGACAACGGCATCAATGAGCTTCTGCGCGCTGGTGCCGGTCTGGTCGATCTGTGTGACGATGACGTTGCACAGGTTGGCCTTCTCGAACTCGGGCTTCTTGTCGTTGAGGCCCTTGATGAGGGCGTTGCCGTCGGACTGCAGGCCCGAGACGAACTGCTGGAGGTTGAGGGCCTCGTTGAGGGTGATCTCGCTCGTGGCGTCGACCTGCGTTGTGCCCTGCTGCAGGGTGCTGACGAGGCTGCCGGCCGCCGTGGCCAGGCCGTTGATGTCGCCGTTGAAGCCCTGGACGGCCGTGTTGAGGGACTTGAGCTGGTTGTCGACCTGCTGGATGACACCGGAGATGGTGGCCAGGTCGCGCTCGACTACGGAGGGGACGTCGCGCTGCACCCTTGTGGGCATCTCGGCGAAGGCGCCGGCAGCCAGGGTAAGGAGGGTGATCTCGGTGGTGAACTTCATCGTGACTTTTTTCTTTTTTTTTTTTGACGGTTGATGTTCCTTCGAAGAGGTGTAGCGTAGGATTAGGTGTGTAGGTTTAGAGAGGGGGTATAAGTCCGAAGGTATCTCTTTGTTCCGTGTTTGACCAGCAATCGTGGGGGATCAAAGAAAAATCGACGGAAAGGAAAGAGGGCTCTCAAAGGCTTATACGTATGGCACAGACTGGATCCGGGACCCAAGATTCGAAGACATGAGAGACACCCACACCCAGAACAGACAGAGGAGGGGGCAAAACAACCTTCATCGCACAGACGGTAACATTATCTGGAATCTCAGCTCATCACTTTCCCAAAAGCGTAATCCGTCTCACATGTAGCCCACGGTTCACCCTCGTAGCCCAACACCACCACATATGGTTTTGAACAAGCAGAGGAGGGGGGAAACTGCTTCGACGGCGCTTCTTCGAACCGGGGCAGGCCTCCCGTCCGCAATCGCATTGACTTGCTGTCTTCGCTACCTGACGTCAATGCATGGATCAGTTAGGGAGCCCAGCCCCGGCTGGCCTTCCAGGCGGGAACGCGAGAAGGAGAGTGAGTGCTTGCTGAGCCACTCGCATCGCACGAATCGTGAGACTTCTACGGCAGTATCGATGGATCAGTCTTCCTGGGGCGATCGTCGACCTGGGTGCCTCAACCCTGCTCAAGGTAAGGTGCTTATTCCACACAAGCTCGACGGGTAGTCCACTGACGGTGCTTCCTCCCTCCCCCGCTCTCATCCATACTACGATCCGCCGAAAAAGAAGTCAAGATGATTAAGCGTTCGCTTCACTTTTGATGATCCTGAAGGTGGCAACTCTGCTCATCCTGAAGAATGACTCCTGGCTGCTGCGGCTCAAGTTCTTTCCATCTTGCTGGCCAAGCCTCTGTGTATCGCCTGAACAACCACCACTTACACACACGGCGACCAGCACAACCACCGACGGAGTTATTTTAAAACATCAAACGGAACTGTCCCCGAAGCAAGTTGGGGGTTAACTGTTGTAAGGCAGCGGCAAGGTACGCTCCAACCCCATCGCCCCGCCCTCCAGCATGATACGAAGTGCCTCGCCGAAGTGAAACGTGAAACGTGCGGACAGATCCCTGCTCAACTCTCCCCGAGCCCAGGAGATCTGGCGATCCCCCACAGCCCCACGGCTGTATTCCACGGCTCTGCTGTGGATTTTCTCGCTCCAGAGTTCTCTTATTGGGGAATCGAGAGCTCCTTTCAGATTGATTGCTGGCTCGTTTTGTCAGGCCGACCCAAGTCGGCTCGACAAATCCATCGAAAATCACGGCAGGTTGAGCCCGAGAATCAGACCACGACCTGGCGCGAGCTCCTCTCGACCCTTTCGTCTTGGCCGTGTCTCTTCAATGTACGAAGGGTCTTGGCCCAGGGGTCCTACCAAACGGGGTAGAGGGATTCGACGATCCCCGGGCATAGCAGACGTGGGATATCGCAAGTTCTTAAACTCATGAGCTTTCAGTTGATTGAAAATCGACGCAGAGTCCGGGCCTTGCGACATTTCCATGTCTTGCAGTCTCTGTGCGGCCACCGACGATGGCTTCGTTGGCCGGTGCTGAAGGCCTTCGAGCATGCATGGCCACCTGTCAACGAGATGCCGATGAAGGAGCTTGCCTGACATGAATTGCAGGCGGACTTCCCGCAACTCAAAGGGCGGCGGTCTGAGTCAACCCCAAGAAACATGGCGCGTGAAGCCGAGGAACCACTCCCACGAACTCTTGCCGAATCCAACCAGTGTTTGGTGTGCCGTATGGTATGGACCGGTCTTTAGCACGCCAACCCCGTGGCTGCCAGTGGGTGTGATGGGAGACCTGAACCATCGACCGTGGGGGTGGCTGAGAGAGTGAGAGTTTGACGAGGGTTGAATCGTAGCCGACTGTACCAACGTCTCAGAGTCGGCTGAGTTGCTCCTGTTGCCTCTGAAGCTCTAGAGCAAGATTCTTGCTGCGAGTATCAGAGTCCAGGTGAAACGGAAAAAGGTACAGCTTAGACCGCGGCGGAGACGCGGGCAGCCAATGTATCGCCAGAGAGTCTCGAGGGGAGGGCAAGCTTCCGACCTTCGGCCGACTCTGCCGCGCAGAAACGCCAGACGAAACTGATTGGCCCGGTACGACCGCACCGTCGCACGGCGCGTCAAAGTGTAGGTGCCACATCGCTTGTCAGTTTCCAAACATGCTACTGCACGGAATGCAGAGACTCGGCCTCGGCTCCGCGTGCCCTTCGCATCGGGACGGCCAAAAAGGGAACCCCATAGTGTCGTTCTCACCAATGGCGACAGGACCTCCGGCTTCTATCCGTTTCTGGTTTCTTACATGCCCGTCGACTTCCCAGTCTCGGTCTCGCCATTTGTGTTTTTGGATGAAGAATCATGGGACGGCGAATTGCTATGTTTCCATGCTGCAACAGCCATTGGCAGCTGATTTCGAGTTGCATGAGACAATCAACTCCAGACGAACCCTTCAGCTGATTCTCCTGCCTGGACGTGGCCTGGACACACATCTTGAAAGCGAGAGGCGACAAAGATATAGTATCCTCACTTATTCCCGCAGTCGCTATGATTCCTCTGCCGCCCGGGCCGCGGCAGAGCGGCGGTTTGCGCGGACTGCGCTGGGACGTTGATACCGCGGAACAGACTCTCAGATATACGGTAAGGCATCTATCCGTAAGAACTGAGAACGCGGGGTGCTGAGCAGTGTTCTGATAGGCACGTCAAAAGTTGACGTGCGTGTCATCCATAATAATGCTAACTCATAGGTTAGATGGGTATCATGCGAATCCTCCAAGCCCTTCTTCCCCTTAGTCATCCCCTGTACTATCCCCTTTTTTTTGACCAACGCAAACGAGACCCTCGCTCATCACTTGAAGATTCGTCTGCCGCCGGTGCGCACAGGGAATCTTTCAACACCACTGGACTGCTGTTCGTGCCACAGACCCTGGATACCAACCCAGCCGCCGTCGCCTGACATTTTGTACCGCCGCCATGCCTCACGGAGATGATCCGGCCGCAAAGGACCTCGCTTGTCTTCCTTGGCGGCCTGACTGGCCTCGCCTTCTCCGTCTTTTGAGACGGGCGGTGGTGTCGGCAGCTCCGATTGCTTCTCGCCAGTTGCCTTGATCCACTCTCCTTGCACGTCTCGAGCTCTTTCGATGAGCTCGCCGATGAATAGTTTTGAGACTGACTTGACGGCGAGTGCGACGTTGGGCGGAACGGATTGCGATACGGTTGCGTTGACGACCTGGGCATTGTGAGTATGGTATAGCGTGGACGGCGGATGACAGGCCGTCAAAAGCAGCGGCAAGATGGGAGCAAACTTACTCTCTTGACCACGGACTCCGTAAGCTTCGCGGCGCGCCAGAGTTCGTAGCGGTCGTATTGTGCTGGGTCGAATGACTCGACCAACATGGCACGAAGTCTGATCTCTTCCTGCTTTTGCTCTTGCGTTCTGGCTGTAGTGTCCACCAAGGCCATGCGCATATCGTTGTCGTCGTCATCGTCGTTACCGCCATCCTCTTGTCCCTCAGCTCCTGCGCCTGTGCCACTGACCGTCGTCGGTGCGCGACCGCCAACTAGCGAGGGTGTCTGCTCTCTGGTTTCCACGTTCGTCTGGTTCTTGGGCTTCCGGCCGCGCTTCTTCTTAGGAGGCGCGCTAACCTGGCTGCCACTGACCACGCTCATGGTATCGGCTGACGGTGATCGCGGGAAGGGAGATCCAGCTCCATCGGGAGGGAAGGAAGTTTGACGGAGAGGATGGGCGGAGGCTGCGGAGGTGACTGAAAGGGTAGAGGCCTTGCGGCGCTTGAGAGAGGGCTGGGATCCGCCTTCGGAGGCGCGCTTCTTGTTCGTTGTTGGGAGCGGGGCCGATGTGGGATATGGGGGAGACAGAGCGGTCGGCGAGTTTGCGTACGGAGGAGAAGCCATCGTAGCGGCTATCGAAGTCGGTCGAGGTTGGTCTGGGCCGTCCTGTAGAAGCTACGCCTGCGCAGTCGAGAGTGACTGTCGGACGTTTCTAGAGAGTTTTTGTCGTGGATCTATCTCGAGAAGGAGCTTCCCGTTGTTCCTCAGAAGCTCGGGGGTGTTGTTGGAAGGCAGAAGTCGGGAACGTTGGCGTGGAGTCGAAATTCACGATTGGCAGACCAAACTGGAAGTGAGGCGCGACTTGAGGAAGGAAGCTACCCAAATGCCAGGCGCAGGAAGGTACAAGCTGACTAAGGTGAAGGCAGATCACATGACCACCTTGCTTTGGGCAGGTACGGAGGTACTGCGTACTTCTAGCTCAAGGTGCACTGGTCCAATGAGCCAGTCAACCTTGGCGGGTAAGCCACATGGCTGGCGAGTGCAAGGTGACTAAGCCGAAAGTTCCACTGGACTGGACCCTGACGCCAGAAAAGCTGGGGTGCAAAGGTGCTGCACCTCAAGAAGGAACTTTTGGTGCTACGTCGCGATAAGATAACGCTGCACGCCGCCCATAACCGAATTTTCTTCTCCGATTTAGCTCCAGGCGAATGACTCTCAGCGGGTCGCTTCCCGAGTGTCTTGGTCCTGGTTTCTTGCGCGGGAGCTCCATCATCCTCCTCCCACTTACACCTCTCAATCCCCTCCGCATCACCAATCCGCCCTCCTAATACCTCCAAAAATGACACAATCCGAGGGCGCCGAGCTCAAGAAGGGCAAGAAGACCAAGCACAGCCACCCCAACGGTCTCAGCGGATCCAGCGACGGAAGCGATGCCGAGACCGCGAGCCAGGCCAGCAGCAGCAAGCGGGGCAAGAAAGACAAGTCGAAGCGCAAGCGCGAGGGCGACGACGCCGAGCTCAACGGCAACTCCAAGAAACATCGTCGTCCCAGCTTGAGCCGTCCGGCTCGCGATCCCAGGGATACCACATCCTCCTCCTCCAAGAAGGTGAAGAAGCCCAAGAACGAGGGCGCCGTGACGAGGTCACCCAGCCCCGTTATTGACTTTGATGGCCTGAGTCGCCCGAGTAAGATCACACCATTGCCCCGCCCCGCGCCCGCCATTGACTAACTCTTTTGCCCTCACAAGGCATTGGAACTCGCGAGCGACTTGAGGAGAGCCCGGAGCAGGCCGCCGCGAGACTTGAGAAGCTCAAGGGCGCCGTCCGCACCATTCTCGAATGCGTCGGCGAAGACCCCGACCGGCCCGGTATCCTCGACACCCCGAGACGCTACGCCGAGGCCATGCTCTTCTTCACCAAGGGCTACCAGCAAAACGTTCGCGACATTGTCAACAACGCCATTTTCCAGGAGGGCCACAATGAGATGGTCATTGTCAAGGATATTGAGATCTTCAGTCAATGCGAGCACCATCTCGTTCCCTTCACAGGCAAGGTATGTAGAACCGCGTCGCATGACTGACTGGACGTAAAAGCTGACTGGGAACACCACAGATGCACATTGCCTACATCCCCAAGAACCAAGTCATTGGCCTGTCCAAGATCCCGCGCATTGCCGAGATGTTTGCCAGACGTCTCCAGATTCAGGAGCGCTTGACCAAGGAGGTGGCCAACGCTATCATGGAGATCCTGAAGCCTCAGGGTGTTGCTGTTGTCATGGAGTCCAGCCACCTGTGCATGGTCATGCGCGGAGTGCAGAAGACGACCACCAGCACAATTACCAGCTGCGTGCTCGGCGCATTCGAAAAGAAGGAGAAGACCAGGAACGAGTTCCTCAGCCTGGTGGGTCTGAAGACATAGAGGCGCATTCAGAGAAAATCACCCTGCCTGAGACAACCCCTCCTCCCTCCGAAGTGAGGGGCATGAGTGTGGCGGCTTTGGGTGCATGCTACTATTACTACGGCGTTTTGGTTTACAGGGTCATGCATTACGAATGGGAGAGACCATCTTTTCAACATTGGGTCAAGCATTGGCGATATTTCTGAGGGTAGATTTCATGAGAAGGGAGCTCAACGCTCGTTCTGGGTTTAAAATTTTTGTTTCAACAGCGCACGCATGCACTTTGTTTTTTCAACACGGAGCGCAGATACAATTGAACAAGGAGTTGCCGGCCGTTGGCTTGCTTGCTTACTTTCAGCCACCGCAACTACTAGCCTGCATCTACCGGCATACTATTCTGTCTTTGTGCTCGAACGTCGAAGCGGTCACGTCTCCCTGCGTATGCAGGAGGCCGATGCATCTGCAGGCCAAATGGTCTGCAGTAGGGTCAAGCTGTCTGCAGGAGGCCAAACGAAACAGAACAAAACTGATCGAAGTGCAGCGGAAACTTTTGGCACGGTTAGCAAAAGACGTTACAACACTATATCCACACCACGGAGCAGAAAGCGCAAAAAGAATTGGTTCTCCCCTTCCAGAATCGAACTAGAGACCTTTCGATGACAATGTAACCATTACAGTCGAACGTGATGAACCAACTACACCAAGGGGAGATATTAGGGGCTAAGCCTCTCTTGGTGAGATGCTCGGAAGGCCGGACTGTGGTCCCAAGAGGGGCGGGCTACATCCGAGTCATTTTTCTGCCTGCATGATGCCCGTTTAGAGCCGTATTGGTGTGGGCTGCGAGGTCCACGTGGAGCTCTGTCCTCCGCATTCAGTTCCGTGGGCAATTGTATTCGAAATTGAGAAATTACAGAATTGAAAGGTGAGAAATGTCGATAGCCAAGCCGCTAACCTCTCGTCTCCAGCCTACACCGGACTCGCACAACCGAAACTCGTGGCCTGCGACTTGCCGTTGAATGCCTCAATCAGCCCCTCAATGGACGAGTACATCCCCAGCGCCGTCGTGACCATGCCGCCAAGCATGTAGAAGATATTCCAGGAGTTGAAGAGCGGCTTCCTCATGAAGCCCCTCCAGTACCGCCAGAACCCGCCATCGACGTAGTGATAAATACCCGTCGCGGGGTCAAACCGTTCCTCCCCAGGCAACATCGCGTCCTTCCGGATCCAGTACCCGAGCCCAAGCAACGCCGGCAGCGTGTAAGTGAAGGACAGGATGAAAAGCGCGCCGATGAAGCCAGAGACGAGCGAGAACTGCGGCACCGCGGCGCCGACAATGAAGGCGATGACCCAGTACACCGGGATCACGGCCGCCCAGAGCATCTTCCCCGCCGATGCCGTCAGCGGCGGCGCCCCGAAGACGCCCTGCAGGAACTCGACGTAGAGCACCTTCATCCCGATGTTGCCGTACAGCCCGGCCGCGATGAGCCCCGTGATGAGGCTGAGGACGTTCGTGGCCGTCTGCCACGCGTAGGGCGATAGGCCCTGGATGACGGGGTTGAAGCTGTACTGGCCCTGGAACGAGTACACGTAGATGCCGAACATGAGGTAGATGGAGTAGATGAAGACCTCCCCGAGGAGGAGCGCCTTCCAGAAGTCCATCGGGTGCCGCATCTCGGACATGAAGGCGGCGAAGATGAGGCAGCCGCCGTAGGAGTAGACTGCCTGGTTCAGGCCGTTGAGAGAGGCCGAGAAGCCGGAGCCGCCCGATGCCATGCCGTTGGGCGGGGTGCCGGCGTACGTGTGGATTGGCCCGGGACCGAAGGCGTCGCCGAAGGAGGCTCTGGTCGCTGCGAAGTTCGGAGGGGAGTGTGCCACGACGCCCATGCTATGTCATGGTCAGTACATTCAGGGGACATTGCGCCAGGGTGCAAGAGTCTGGCTTGACTGCGCGACTGCACTCACCAGATGAAGATGATCAACAGGTTCACCCAAACAGCCAGGTTTGCGATCCACGAGAACCGCTGCAGCGTCCTAATCTGTCCCAGAATGAACCCTGCCGCCATGAAGATGATAAGGCATGCAACGAAACAAATCCCCGCGTCACCGTTGGGTCCCTTGGAAATCTGCGAGATCGACTGTCCGTTACCGAGGATGAGGACCGCGACAAAGAGCATGAGCTGCAGGCCCTGCGCAAAGTTGATGGCATGCCGCGCCCAGGTCCCAAATACGCGGAAGTACAGGTCACCGTAGCCTTTCAGAGGGTACCGGTCGGAGTCGAGGCCGAGGAAGGATTTGTAGAGGATCCAGCCCGAACTGGTTCTGTGAGCAGTCTGCGTGGGTGCTCGACCGAGAGATGAGGAGGACTTACTACAAGGACATGATGCCGAAGACGGTGTAGAGAGCCACGCCTGGGCCATATCCCATTTGCGCAAAGGCCCATCTAGAACCCGTCAGTCTGAAGTTGTGATAAAGCTGGAGAGATGAATACTCACGGCGTTGAGAAGGGTCCCAGGATATCCGTCGTGATGAGATAGAATATGGCACCCCAGCCGGCTGTTCTCATCGCCCTGCTAGCCCTCTTCCATTCTTCCTGCGTTACGCTTCCCACAACCCCTTCGCCGGGAGGAACCAAGGTCTTGTCGCTCCCGATGCTTTTCTCCCTCGTGTCCGGAGCGCCGCCGCTGCTCTCATACTGCCCGTGCTCGTCACCCTTCCTGAACCTGTCCTTGATCACGCTCTTGATGGTAACAGGCCCTCTGGCTTGGACGTATCTGGCATTCGCCTCTTGCTCTTCCGCGCGAGTGATGCTCGCCCAGTACAGGTACTCCTCGAACGTCACGTTCGGGTCGTGGATGTTTGGCGTCTCCTGCATGATGTCGACTACATGTCCGTTACCGCACCCGCTAGACCGCGAGTTGGATTTCTCGTGCTTAAGCTGTGAAATAGACAGGTCTCCAGCTTCTTGGCTGCCGTCCGTGACCGTGGGCGCGACCGGGTGGCCGGGCATGGTTGCTCCAGGTGTCTCAGAGACGGGACGACTTCAGGCGCACGATGTCATAGGGGCGAACCAGTATAGTTCTACCGGCGGAATGTCACACGAATTACCCCAAAGAGAAGGGATGGACTACGGTCTTTATGTTTCCTACAATCATACGTGGTGTGATGGCGGTTCATCCGAGTGCTTTTAATCAGAGTGCCCGCCGGGTGCGACCGTCCCGGATAACAGAGCCCACCACTTACCATCTACGCCGCGGTTCGAAACCCCCCGCGATATCGACTGGCGTGTTGGAAGAGATATGCCGGGGCGTCCTTGACGTCGTCCCGAGCTAAGCTTTGTGGCACCCCTGAAGGCGATGGAACCTAGATAAGGTGCCACGGCGCGCTGTAGCCCTCCCCCCGCGTGACGATGACAGCGGTTGGGGTTTTGATTCGAGGAATATGTGCTAAGCGACGGTATCATCGACGATACCTCGAGCGATGTGCGTGAGGTGATGGGGCTAGCGATTGCTGTTGGTGCTTGTTTGGCAGGTCAGAACTCTATCTTATCGTCATACATCGGATCAAGGGGTGGGAAGCTTCGATGTTGGTTCCATTTCGAGATGGCTGTGATAAGGCATGCCCCATCTGCAACGGATTCTCGGCAGTTTGGCATTTCGATATCTCGGGAGTCGGCTAGGACAGGCGAGACCAGATACGTGATGTGGGCAGTTGTGCCCATTTTCATCCTATTGGAAACTCAATCCCTTTGCTTCTCATCCCACTTGGTCGGGTCTTCATCAACGAATATGATGCGGATGGACTGCCAATGAACAAACCGAGCGGTACTCTATTATTGAGATGGAGTTCAGATTCTTCATCATCTCCTCTTCTGTGGTTCAGATACCTACAAGCGCAAGTTTCATGTCGCGAAAATATGGACGCAAGCCTGTTGTCATTGTTGCAACTCTGTTGATGTTTCTGTCAGTGTTGTGGTTGCACCGCATGCTGCATAAGACTGCTCCATTCTAAAAGAATTGTTCACTCGGCCCTCAGTTGCGTCTAGCAGAAAAAGACCTCGCCAGATCGATAATGCCTGTCAAAACCCGTGACCCCATACGTATACGTCAGTTCCTGGGCCCGAAAAGTTGGGCCACTCGCCACCCAATCGCCGACCTGGCGATCTCAGTCCACAAATACACCATATGATCATCACCAGGCCCACAACGCTGACTGAGTGAATTCTATACAATTTCATCTTTTGACCTACTCCATGGATGAACGCCGGTCGAAGCTCGTTTCTTCGTAGTGAGACATATTGATTGTTTGAAATGGCTATGATACAGGTTATACAGGTGATACATATGACGACCTCTCATGACTCGTCCTTGACAACCGTCGACTTCCGCTTGACCTCCCTCTTCTTAGGCTTCAGCCACTCTTCCATGCCTTCGGGCCAATACACCCGCCGTGTTGGGCCGCCCATAGCAAATTCCTCTGGAGGGATTGTCTTTGCTTCGGCCTCGGTTGGGCCAGCCTCGCCTACCCCCTCCTCCATTTCTTCATCGCCATCATCGTCCTTCTTCTTCTTCTTCGGCTTTCTCGGCTTCTTCTTAGCAGCCCCGTTCTTGTTTGCTCGATATTCATCCTCCCGTTCGTAAGGCACGACGTCGTTGAAAAGGTCATAACCAGGTAACTTGAATGTGCGCATGAGCTCGAAGACGGCTTGCTCCTTGTCCTTGGCCTCAATCATGAGATCCATATCGGGCAGACAGGGAGGTAGTGTTTTCACGCGTGGTGAGTGCTTCCTCCGGTCTCGTGGTGTGACAGCACCCGGACACGATTCGCTGTAGTGCATCTTCTGCCTGATTCCCTTGCGAGTCCATGTCGCGCGGATACGATCAAAAACTTGTCTGATATCCTCTGTGCCCTCACGCAATTCATTCGCGTCGAATATGATGTTATGATGATGGAAGTCGAGTACCATAGGAATGTTTAGTTCCTCGCAAATGGGCAACAGATCGTGCACCGACCAGGAAACGTCGTCATTTTCCAAGACGAGACGATTCTTGATAGACTGACTGAGCTTCGCATAGTTGGTTCGAAATCGATCCACAGTGGCGGGCTTGTCGCCGTATGTACCTCCCATATGAAGAATCATAATCGCATCCTTGTTCTGCTGTTCGGGAAGACGCAGAAGCGAGAGCAGCTCATCGTGATACTCCAAGTCGCGCACAGCGTTGGCTATGACCTCCTTACGTGGGGACCCAAGCTGTGTAAACTGGCCAGGGTGTGTTGTTAGTCGATGACCAAGTTGAGCAGCAACCTTGCCAGCCTCGGCAAGAGCATCTGCAGCAAATGTTGCGAGTCGATAACCGTATTCCTCGTGGCTGGCGAAAGGAAACATCTCTGAGCTGAGGCGCATGAACTTGATACCATACTTGTCGTTCCACTGAAGCATCTTGACAATATCTCGAGCATTTGCTAATCCCAACTCTTGGACGTATTTTTGGCCCAGCTTGATGTCAGCAGGCTGTGTGTCATCGGGTCGGTTCTTTGTGGCATGCTCAGGCTGACTTGGATCAGCGAGAGGATGCCGATGCTGTATGATAGATGCAATGCGACATGTCCTTGAGCTAAAGACCGGCGGGTTGGCGGCTCGTAGGTATGTGTTAAGACACGCCTTTGACGACATCAGCACGATTGATACAAGAACGAAGCCATGAAGCACTTACATAACCTAGACGTCCTGTCCAAGGCAGTGGAAGATAGTCACTATTCACTGGTGGTGCTCTCGCTGCGCCCCGCTCTGGGGCGTCTTCTTCTCGAAGCTTATCGTCTTCAACGTCTGCAATGGCACCCTCAGCCTCAGGGCCCTCGATAGGGGCGACATCCAAGTCCGGGGTCCCGGATCGTTGCTCTTCCACCTCACGGGCGCGCTCTTCAGGATTGGACAGCTCCGTTTTGACAACAGGACGCCAAGACTGATCCTCGGGACGTTTCTTATTGCCGCCAACGACGTGGCTGGTTTCAACGGCAAGACGCTGATTCCTGGTGGAATTTTGGAGACGGTGTTCCATCTCACTGAGCTCTCTCATGGCATGTCGAACGCCATCGTGGGATTTGAGCATCTTACGACTGAGCTGGCGACGCTTGGCAGGTGGCTCTTTGTCTAGGTCGGAAGGGGTGGGGCGCATGCCGGCGCCGGGCTCGGTGACTTTCTTGACGTCGTGAATGCGGCGACTGGACCTCCGGGGGGCAGGGGGGGCCTTTTCTGGATTGGTAGTCTCCTCAGGTTTGATGGCGGTGTCGGCAACAGCAGCAGCAGCAGCAGCAGCAGCAGTGGTAGACTTTCTTCGCTTGGGAGCAGCCATGACGAGAGAGTTAAGTAGCGGAGAGTTGTAAGTGTAGTCCACAGGCAATAGGGAAAGGCTGAATGAGCGGGCAAGTGATGAGCTCAGGGGCGGGACAGGTGACGGCACGGGTGTGGTGTTACGGAGAAGACGCTTTGCGCAAAGCCGTTGATTGGCTGTGGCGGACGAAAAGCTCCTCATGCAGTCAAAGACCGGGGAGGTACGGATGGAAGTAGAAGACGATGGATTGGGATGAGTGATGTATGAGTGTGTCTGGGCCGTTGGGGGGATGGATTATGCTCGAGAGTGGGTGTTTGTGTGTCTGTGTTTGTGCTGGTGGGCACTGTCTGAGGCATGTATCCCCTGGGTGTCAGATTGTACCTTGCCTTACATGGACTTCTTGCGACGGATAGCAGGCACGGGCGAGAAGCTATTGAGGACGGGAAGGGTCAGAAGAGGAGAGGTAGTCGGGAAGAGAGGATTGTGGACAGGAGGAAGAGAGAGAGAGAGAGCGTGAGAGAGAGCGTGAGAGAGAGCCGGGAAGACAAGACGAGGGCATGTTAGCGCGGAAGGAGAGGCAGAGGAGACTGGATGTCGTCAGGAGGCCTGAAGACGGGCATGGATGGCAACGAGGTAGGTAAGGTACCGTAGGTGCGTAGGCAGGAGGTGAGATGGAAGATGTAATGCCTGCCGGCGACGCTATGCAATTCTTCTTTGTGATGGGTCTAGTGCAATGGCGAATAGGCATTTCGATCTCGATAAGGAAAGGCCGCATCGATGAGCCACGCGCTCGTCCCCTCATGCCTGCCTGCCCTCCTGCCCTGAGAAACGGGCACACAAAGTAATGCAAATTCTTAGGCGAGGTAGGTGGGAAGCACGGAAGGCGAGGAAAGGCAGGTAGGTATCAAGCTGATGGGACGGGATGGCGGTTTCCTTCTGGAGGTTTCGCCCCTCGCCTTCTCAGACACGGGTCAGGCACGCGGCAAGGGTAGGTCTTTCCTTTTGCTTTTCTTTTTCTGGCCAGGTACCTGCCTTCGCTTCGGAAGGAACATACGAACAATGGAAGGCACGATGAAGTCACCCGTGGACCTGTCCTATGGGAAGGGAGGTGGAACGCGAAAGAGAGACAGAAGGCAGGTGCGCCGGTGGCAGGTGGAAGGCAAGTGGAAGGTGCGAGGTGGATTGTGGGGAGGAGCTTGGTCCATTTCACCTGCGTCATTGGTCCCCAAACGAATCGTCGGCAGGAGCTTCGACGTCACTGGGAAAGTCCAATGCACGTACAACGCCACCCGTCGACCAACCACCGCCACGGCATTATGTACTTGACCTACCAGCCTCATCTCTCCTTACCTTTACTTACCTTGACCCGAGAAGAGGATAGGAGCGAATTCTGACCTCGCTTCAGTCATCCACTGCAGCGAGTGCAGTGTCACATTGCAATGCGGCTCGTTTGGACAGTGGGGCACAATGTCTGGTCCGTTGGGCCTGGACGCGGATTTCACAGCGTTACGCCACGATGACAGCAGCGACCCGACGAGAACTGTGGTTCACTCCTTCCGCGTCCCGCCTGCCCTAGCGGATGTGTCTCACCGAGCACCCGGCCACTGCACTTGCCCCGTTCCAGACACCTCCCATCAGCCGCAATACTGCTCTTCGATGAAGCTCGATGGCCACACTC